AAGATCATCTTGCTTAGTAGCTGGCTCATGACTCATAACCATATTGTAACCCACTTGCAGTATATTCTTGCCCACCCCACATTTGGGGGACTTTCTAACCAGGGTTATTAACCACTTACTAAATAGGATTATCCTCTAAGTAGAAGCTTCGGGAATCAAACATGGCAATGGACAATTGCCTCTTTGTAGATGATGTTGCATTAAAATCCTAAACTACAGGGGATTTTCCACTGCTATCTTGGGATATGTGAATATCATCCACATTCACCCTTTCGATCTTATGGGAAGATCGAGACAAAATGGGATGTTTTGGCGTCGGAAAATGGGGGACACCCTGATATTCCTGTTTCAATAGGAGTGTCCAATTTTCATACAAACCCATTTGGGAATACTGATCAGCATACAAAACTCCAGGGACAGAGCCATAACCACTGTCCTCTCTTTGAAGAGAGCTATGCTTTGCTTGACATCGCAGTCTTTGGATATGAAACCCTAGTTGGCTTTGGATATTCTGTTCAAACGGGGGACCCATGGGTGTTTTCGTCATCCCCATTTAACCAGGGGTGTATAAACTGGATTTTAAGAATTCCGATCATCATCAGTAAATGGTCAATGTCTTGAAGCCCGTGCCTAAGATAAAGTAGTCAAAAGGATTGAACATCACAATCATAAAAATCGAGGGGACGAAACTACTGGATATCATCAGCCAATTGTGCATATTGGAGAAACATCCGTTCTGGGGCATCCCCATATGTGTGTACTGTACAAGGCTAATCAAAGATATCCAGCACGCAGTGATTCCTAGCCATCAATGGCTCTGTTCAATTTGGAGCCCATGTGAAGGGTATTTCATATTTTATTGGCTATTGATAAAATATATTATCTTCATTTCAGGGTGGTGAAACCATATTAAACCACCGTTTTGAATATTAAACCTTTGATTAGTTGCTTATTAAACCATATTCAGATTCTTAGACCATGCATATCAAACATTATTAAACCATCTACCCTACCCTCTGGTAAACTAACGTAACTACGGAAAAACAAAAGACATTTTTTAATGGGAAAATCAACTATAAATGGTCCATTTTCAATAGCCATGTTAAATTACCAGAGTCAGAGGGTAATCCTCTTTCAAGAGTGTTTGGAGTAGGTTTTGAGGAGCCAAGTCGCTTTCAAGTGTTTTGGAGTGCTTCTTGGGGACCCTAGGATTCCAGAAGGAGCAACCTGCCCTCCAGCGCCTGACCAAAGATCTGCAGACTACGCGGCCATGCAGTGGCAGCCAAGCGATTCATCTGGGTGACGTGCACCTACGAAGCCGCTGTTGTTTTTTTTGGGACCTTTTGGAGAGATGTAATGGAGAACTTCCATGATGTCTTTTAGCTGGTTGGGATCTATCTATCAAACTATCTATCTATCTATCTATCTACCTATCTATTTATCCATTTTTATTTCTATCTATCTATTGTTTTTTTTTCTATATTTATATATTTCTTTCTATCTATCAATCTTTCTATATGTCTATTGTTCTATCTATATGTCTATCTATATATCTATCGATCTATCGATCTAACAATCTATCGATCTATCGATCGATCGATCTATCGATCTATCGATCTAACGATCTATCGATCTATCGATCTATCTATATGTCTATCTATCTATCTACCCATCTATCCATTATATCTATCTTATTTATCTTATATATATATATATTATCTATCTTATTTATCTTATCTATATTTTATATCTTATTTATCTTATATATTTTATATATCTTATCTTTCTTATCTATCTTATATGACTTATCTATATTATCTATCGTATCTATCTTATCTATCTTATATATCTTATTTATCTTATCTATCTTATCTATCTTATCTATCTTATTGATCTTATATATCTTATCTATATTATCTATCTTATTTATCTTATCTATCTTATCTTTCTTATCTATCTTATCTATCTTATCTATCTTATCTATCTTATCTATATTATCTATCTATCTATCTATCTATTCATCTATCGATCTATCTATCTATCGATCGATCTATCGATTTATCGATCTATCAATCTATCTATCTATCTATCGATCTATCTATCTATCTACCTATCTATCTATCTATCTATCTATCTATCTATACATCTATCCATGTATCTATCTATCTATCTATCTGTCTATCTATCTATCTATCTATCTATCTGTCTATTTATCTATCTATCTATCTATCTAATTATCTATTATTTCAATTATTTCTATCTATCTATATTGCTATATATCCATCTATCTTGCTATCTATCTATCTATCTATCTATCTCTCTATCTCTCTATCTCTCTCTATCTCTATCTATATAGAATATACCAGCATCTATAGTCAACGATTGAAGGAGTGCAGTTGAAGCAGTGACGCCGTGACGCCTACACATTCGTACAGAGCGCACGCCTGCAGCCGCTGTTGTTGACCGTCCTGAAGGAGTCCTAGAACCTCAAAAGCGGCGGCCCTTTCGTTTCGGATTTCCATGGTCTGGTAAAAGACTGGGATCCATGTTTCCATGAATATCCTACCGTTGAAGTGTGGGTAATATGAAATATGCCATGTGAAAGAAGTATGGTATATTATTATATATATATTATATATAAACATGGATATTGCTCGAGAATCAATGTGTGATTTCAGCACCAGCTGATGATGAGGAAATCATAGGTGATAGAAAAAATGGTCTTTAAGCAACTGAGATCGCTCCGAATTTGGTTATACCCCAAAGTTTAAGTGGAACGCCTGGAAAAAGTGATCATATGTCATATGTCACTGGACTTTTGGGTACCCAATTGTCGGACAAACTACGTACTAGCAAGCATGACATTGCATGGTAAACCATTGGAAGGTATTGCACTATGAGGGGGACCGAAGTGTTGAGTTTTAAGCTCCTTATCTATGATGAAATGGAAGCAGAGCTACTATATTACTATATATCAGGATCTACACACACATGATATGGTTCGTGGGAACAAAACACTCCACTGTATCATATATCATAAAAATGGGAACATGACATATGACTGGGAAAGCCAGAACGGACTGGTAGTTGCCCAACCTGACTTGAAATCTGATACATACTTTAACATTCACGCGTGCTCAAATTGTTGTTGCAAATGCACCATCACCAACGTCTGTACCTGTACGTGGTGGACATTAGGTCCGGCAGCTTCTGCGGAATGAAGTATGTACACACGTGATTGATGTGGACTTTGGATCTTTTAGAAGAAAACCCCAAAATCTGCACATTACCGTACTAGTGCATAAAAAGGACAAGGCCGAACAATAATCAGGTTGTTGATTGAGCCCAACTACAATGTTGTTGTACACTTCTTAAGACAAGGAACTCATGGACGCCGTGTGGAAAAACATCTTCCAAAGCACCGGGTGTACTTTGTTGATTTTAGAGTTCTATAATTTACAAGCCCATTAAACACATTTTATTGTTGGTGAATTGGCTAATGTCCAGTCAAACGTGTTCTTCCAACAGCAACATTGTCAGCCTGGCAATTTCCATCCACGCATTGCCACCTGAATCCAGCCAATGTCAGATCGAAACGATGCAGTTGTGGCATTCGTAGCATTTCCCCTGGCCAAACGCTATGGCTGGTGATGTTTGTGGTTTCAAGTTGGGGTAAAAGATATACCAAACATGATATACAATGATTTACATATGAACTGTTGGGAATGCAATGGTATGGCATGGAATATATGTGAACATCAATCATTTGTCTGAAATTCGTTTACAATGATCTAGCCATCAGTTGAATGATCATGAATAATATGTCATGCCCCTGGCTAGATAGACTGTAACACAATTGTCTAATATATACATACATATATATATATAACTATATATACACAATAGATAAATGATGTGTCAAATCTGCCAGCCTCAGTTCATCTTGGGTATGGCGGGACATCTTTTTAGGTCGTGACATGTCCATTGTCATGTCGTGAACTCACGCCGATTGATGCAATATATCCCATGCATAAAATATGGTTGTAACCCTCTGGTAGTTCAACTATAGCTATTGAAAACGGCCATGTATAATCATTTATAGTTGATTTGCATAGTACATGATTATACATGATTATACATAGTATTTTTTTAGTTGATCATAACACATAGTATAACATGGTGAGTTTCCAGTTCGCTATACGTTGTTGAACTTCCCGGTCCTGCGGTGGAACTCCACAGGTCCACGACCATGGTGAGGCATTGGTCATGGCCTGGTGGTTAGTCAATGGGAAGGATGACATCCCATATATGAAATGGAAAATAAAAAAATGTTTGAAACCACCAACCAGGAATGTTATAAATATCTTATATAAAGTATGTATATATATAATTATGATATATATATATATATAATTATGATGTATATCATCTATATTCATACTTCTAAACATCTATATAGATATATCTATAGCATTGTGCACCAAATAGATAATAATAGATAACAATGTAAGAAGCAAATTAACAAAGTGTGTGCATATATATATATATAAATATGTATCTGTAAATACGGGTATTTCCAGTATATTCAGTATGTGCGAAATGAATCTTAAAATGCACAAATTATACCAGTTCCATCAAAGCAGTCACATTATTCGAGTTAGTTACGTTCGAATCTGTCCTTGAGTATCTACAGTTTGAGTATAGCCCATCCAACACTTGTCACTCACCGATCAATCGGGATATACCGGGATCAAACACTCCAAAAGGACATGGGTTTCTTCAAAAACACTGGATGCTCCAACATTATACACTTTAAGGTGAAATCTTACAATAAACCTCATAAGAAACCCTGTTGTGGTTGTGGGTATCTTGTTTTCAAGCAAACCCATACAAGCTTATGTATGTATTATAGTGTATATATATATGTACATACCCATGATATATGTATATATATACACATTTATACACATACACATGAAGTTGCTCAAAAGTAGCATACACCCAAACATCCAGAAAATCTGTCAATATTGAGGCATGCTTTGTTTATGAAACTATCATATCTATATAAGTTACACTATATATAAATTATATATATCATTACATTCCATAAAATATCACCATTATGGCCATTCTGGTTGGTTAGTGTTGGAGTTGGAGTCATATTATGTCATGGCCACCCCACAAAATCACCCTAAAACTCCAATATCCCATGTCGAATTCCCATTTTTAATCCCTTAACGGCTCCCCGAAAAAACTCATAAAATCACTATCTGTTGGTGGTTTCAATCCCTCTGAAAAATATGAAAGTCAAACCACCAACCAGCTATAGATTGACCTTCCCCGATTTTTTTGGCCCAACTCACAGGTACCTCACCGCACCGCAGTCGCAGCCCAAGGCATCCTGTGCATCCCTTCGTGCCATGGCGTACGCATCGTGCCATCGCGTACGCACGCGGAACAAACGCGTGGCGTGGTCAACGGGCAAAAAGGTGACTTATCGAAGGGAAAGTAGTGGTAAGTATTAGGGTTCAACTGGTTCAACTGGTTCAACTGGTTCAATTGGTTCAACCATGAACAATCGGATCCCTGAATTTGCAACTGGAGGGTGTTCTTTTTGTAACGTTTTTCAGAAATAACAAGTTCTAACCCCAGACACATCTGGGAATAACGAAAAATTGATTGATTGAACAACTCCAGGGATTGCCCCCGGGCCAACTGGATGATGTGTTAGAGACACAGATGTGGATTAGGCATGGTTCATTGGATGGAAGCACCTCATTGGAGACATGAATCCCGCTCATCACAGATTCCCTGAGATCTTCAACCCACGACCAGCAAATGTTCAACGGCTACTGTATCTTAAGCCATCCAAAACTCAATTCATGGTTCGACGTGTCAAGATCCATGCAGGAATCCACCCCACTATGTTGCAGTGATGCGTTGATCTGTAACCTAGTTGGTGGTATACCTACCCCTCTGAAAAATATGAGTTCGTCAGTTGGGATGATGACATTCCCAAGATGATGGGAAAATCATAAAATTCCATGTTCCAAACCAAACAGTCTTGTTTTTGTTCAAAGAAGAAATCATGCCATTTCGGTTGCCGTGCGGGTCTTGAGACAGCCGGGATGCCAGTCACCACAGAAGAAGGATTTTATGAGACAAATAATTATTGCAAGGATAACATGTAATACTATGGATAAGACTTTCAATATCTTTCAATATGATATCATAATATATCATAATATAGCATAATCATATGTCAGCATTATCATAGTCATAGAGTCATAGATAAACATTGTTTGACACCCTGAAAGAACGACGTTATTATCTGGGCAGCATACTATTCCCACATGTCCCATGGCTCAAACATCAGCATCCGCCGTCTCCTGTGGTAAGCCATGGAAGCCTGGAAACACCTCGGGGAGAACCACGCCATCCAATGAAACCAGTAGAAAATCAATCTTCCTGTAACATCTTGCTGTAACAAATGGCCACGGGAAATCCATAAATCCACTATGCAAAAAGAACTTCCATTCTACTGGGGAAAAAAAACAAGGGGACTGGTCCGGCACGTGTTGGTGCCACCCTTTGTTGACCCGTTGATGTCCACGCGGTGTTGACAAACCCAGTGACGTGGGGCAAGAAGTTGATCAACTCCCATTTTTCACCTGCGATCAGGTCGTCAACTCTACAGCCCTAGGGCAACTGGAGTAGACTGGATGCATGGAACAAAAAAAAGAAACACATGGGGATTTATATTTATTTATAGTCATCCTGAAGCACAAAGAATATTCAAGTTTCACAGATATTTTCATTCTAGTAGAAATTGTTTGACATTTCCATATTCATCTACTCGGTGATTTATAAATTATAAATATGTGGTTCCAGCTGCAAAATTCAAAACTCTTACAGGTCCATGAGCTCAACCCTTTATGGGAGCATGCCTTCCCCAAGTTCTCTCTTTCTTCGCCACCTGAGTGGGGTATCTCATATCAATTTTGACAGGCGCTCCATGGCCCTTCTTTGGGATCAGACTCCCCATTTAAGCCACTTAATCCCATCATCCCAATTCATATTAATCATATAACATGCCCTCATTCTATGATGCCAAATATGTGGTTTCATCCCTTACATCCACCATGGTTTCTGGGGGCTGTTAAATTTGAATGGGAGGGACGAACATTAAACAAACGGAATTGTCACACATCATGAATAATTCATGAATCATATGAACTATGATCATTCCCAATTGTCCAGAGCGTAGTAGATCATCCACCAACTAATCACTGGTTGGTGGTATACCTATCCCTCTGAAAAATATGAGTTCGTCAGTTGGGATAATGACATTCCCAATGTGATGGGAACAATATTAGTCAGTTGTTCCAAACCACCAACCAGCTTTAGTTTCTAGTTTCTATTCAATCTTACCCTCTGGTAATGACTAACATAGCTATTGAACAATATTTTTCACATGGTCCATTAAACTGGGCAAATTACAATATTTCACTAACCTGAATCTTGCGGCCATGTAGGGATGATTTCCCTTACTAACCATGATTTCCAGTGAGGTCGCAGTGAGGTCGTTATAATTTACCCAGATTAAAAAAAATGATCATCCAGATCATTATTGAACATTATTGAACATTATTGAACATTATTGAACATTATTGAACATTATTGAACATGGTCCATTAAAAAAACATGATCATCCAGATCATCAACCCACAAACCCGGGATGTCTTGCAGCCACCTGGGAAGGTCTTGCGGTCGGGCGAGCTTTTGATGAAGCGAGGGTTGATCAGTTGCGGCACCTGCCGCAAAGAGTCGGAAGCCCATGGCCCATGGCTAAGGTTGATGAAATAGCGCATATTTATAGGGATGACAAACCAGCATCTTTAAACTGTATACATATATATAATAAAAAATAAAATAAAATATATATATAGATATATATAATATAAACATACAATGTGAATATGATACTATATGTATGAGATGACATATGATGACATGTATCTCGTCCATCAACCAAACTCCGGTCGTGTCGAGCCAATGTTTTTAAGCACCAAAACACAAGATTTAACACAGGCACCAAAAAAAACAGGGTTCCATTTGTTTCTCCTCTACAAACATCAACTTTGAGTGTAAAAACACAAGCATTCCCACCCTTGAAACACCACTTAAGAGTTGTATATTCCGCGATCTCAAACCACCAAGAAGTCATGTTTCACCCCAATGAATCTATAAAGAAAATGTCACATCGAAATCATCCAATTATCCAAAGAATTTGTTCATCCACATTTTGCACTACAGTAATTATAATTGGATGATTTCATATTATGAAAAACTACTGTACTTATATGTACTTATCATCTTCATTCAATCTTTAAAACAATCTTCCCATCCAATCTTTCAAACTACTGTACAACCCACATGAATCTTCCCATCTACCCGGGCCCGGCCCCCAGATCTGTGCACCGCGACCTGTCCGGTCGCCGCAGTTTCCCGCAAAATCTCGGCGTTCATGGCACTGGCCACGGACTCAACCGCCTTGTGGCCCTGGGAAGATGGGAAGTCCTCCCCATGGCCACTATCCCATGACGGATCCATGGTGCTGCTATATATGGTAACATGGATCCCATCAATATACCCCCTTTATGTTAGCATATATACCAGCACCATGGATCCTATGGGTATGGGTATACCCTCTGGTTATGACTAACATAGCCATGGTATAGATGGCCCATAGAATCATAGAAATAGATGGTTTACCTATTCATAGCATGGGGATTTTCCATGGCTATGTTAGTCATAACCAGATGGTATATCCGGAAATATGGAACATTAAGGAACAAAAAATGGAGCGATTTTGTGTCTGACATATGGCCGATGTAAGCTATCTAACATATGTAGTCTTCATACCGACTCAACATAATAGTAGCCAACATCTACCTGGAAGTACCAGTTGCGGAGGTCTCTCTCTATAACATATGTGAGGTCTATGTAAGGCCTATTTCCAGCGAATATCCTCCCAACAAAAAAATCACGGTACAGTACCATATCAGTACCATTTTAGGTACCATTTTATAGCAATATATGGCAATTGTTGACCATTTTGCTTGGGCTATGCCGCTATGGCTTTCTGGCTTTCCTCAAGGACAATCCACGGGAAATGGTGAAAAGTGCTGATTTAAACCAGCCAAAAAAAACGCTAAAAATTGGTGCTATAAACTCAAGGATAATGGGATGGAACTCTGATATAGATGGGAGATGGATACAAGAAATACTGGTATTTATGGATGTTCATACTTAATACCCCAAGATTGTGATATTTCAGTGTTTTTAATCCAGTGTATCAATGGGGTATAACTACAGTGACATTGGACATGAAGTGGGATTTGACCTACACTGCAATGTACCCATCAGCCACTTTGGACGATGAAAGATGGTACATTTTTTTTGGGCATGAATGGAGGTTTGACCCAGCAGAAATGGGACGTGATAAATGTATATTATACATATACATATATACAGCAATACATATCTGAGATACTAATTGTTTAATTCATCATGTACATATATACTGGAATATGTGCTTGTCAATGTTTGTAAACTAATATAATATATATTATATTATATTAGTTTACAAACATTGACAAGCACATATTCCAGTATATATGTACATGATGAATTAAACAATTAGTATCTCAGAGTAAATATTCTTGATTTTTTAACATATACCAGGACGATCATCTCATGTTGTTCAACGGCGCCTCCCAAAAGATCTGCAACTGGTGCTCCGTCAAAGTGCCGTCTGAATGTGCCAGGCCCACCTTTTGTTGCGACGACAGGATCATCACACGTCCAATGGCTTTGTCTTAAGGGGAACACCTCCCAAAAAATCCCATATGGCCCATACTTAATCATTAAATGATCATATTAAATATTATTAAATCATGATTTTCACATGTGGATACATTTCAGGGTATATATACTGTATATGGTATACAGTTCTATACCGTTCATTTCCAGACCCAACAAAAAGACTGTGGAACCATCCCGGATCATCCGATCCAAATAGTGGCACAGTCAATTATAAACCAAACACGCGGGCATGGTGTATTTGTTCCGTATATTTTTCCGTATTTTTCCGGTTTACCACATTATCTCAAACCAAAGGTAAAAACAATATGTAAAAGCAACTTGCAAATTCATTGAGTTGGTAGCTGTTGAGTAATCGCACGTAATCCGGTCAAACGCCATCGTTTGCCCGGACCGGGAAGAATCTGGCATGTAATGATGATGATGAACAATCAGGATACCCCCCCAAAACCCTCCTCCAACCTAAATGGTAATGATATGTATCTTTCAGGGGTCATGGGGAAGATGGTAGTCTTATAATCATACAGGTAATTTCTTGTAGCATCTCTTGGTGTTTCCGTGAGTATTCCAGGCTACCCTTTTTTCATTCTTGGGCAAACGATGGTGTTGATCCTCTGATCCGAGATAGCGGAAGGGGATGAACCCTGGAAGGTGCCTGTAACCATGGTGACTGGGTCAATGGGGATTTCAATCATGCGGATAAAACCTATCTCACATAATTTGTGTGAATGTAGACAAGAGAAAACGACAGCATGTTCAACGTTGCTAATGTTCATTTTGGATTGTCTAAGATTTTCCGTGAAAATGCCAGTGCCAGAAACACAACACAGCATCATCAACCCAGGTTAAGTCTCAACAATATCCTCCATCTGAGCACTAAGTCGATGTCAATATGTCAAATGTCTGAGGACAGTCTGACCGATCTGACCGCCCCAAACAATCATTTTGTTTGACGCCTGCAGCAGCATTTAAAAGTCATACAAGCCGTGGGGCCCCCAAGTCATAGGTTGGTATAGCTAGTTCGTTATAAGTATCATAGTGGCCAGACAGTGACATTGGAGTTGGCTTATATAAGTATACTATAGTTATAAGATGTATCATAAGTAATTAATGTTGTACGCCGATTAGTATGAGGATCCGCTATTGTGTCAAGTTTTCCCAAAATAATTCTGGCTCAGTGGAATTGTTGGGGGGAACCACTATTGTGTCAAGTTTTGTTCAGCATGTTTTCAGTTTTTTTCAGCAGTTTTCCAGCGTGTTCAGTGTTCAGCATGTTTTCCAATTGTTTTTTCAGAATTTTATTTTTGGTTCCTCATTTTTCACAAATATTGAAATTAATTAATCATATAATTAATTGATGAATATGTGTTTGTTCTGGTGGTCCTCTATTGTGTCCAGCTGTTGTCTGAAGAAACATGTTTTAAAGGTTGCGACCCATCAGCAAGATTGATCTTCAATAATTAATTAATGTGTTTGTTGTGGTGGTCCTCTATTGTGTCCAGATGTTTTTTTCTGAGATGCAAATGTTCATCATTACCTTTATCCCCTTCTTTGAAGTAGCTATTGTAAATTAATTACTAAGTTGTTATTCCGGGTCATCAGAATGCACCATTTTCACAACATATCAAATTCTTTATTAAGAAAGGTTATGACACATAGCACCCAAACAATTTTTCAAGGGGGTAGCCCATGGGCAGCATTGATCCTCAATAGTATGTTTGTTGTGGTGGTCCTCTATTGTGTCAAGCTTTTTTGTTGAAGTCAAAGTTTTCCAAAATCCTTCTCTCCTTTCCGTTTCCTTTCCCTTGCTAATTAATAGTTCTCTTTTTTACTTTCTTAGCTCCATTCTTTTGGAATTCTCAAAAATGTCTAATTTCCAAAATATAGGATGCTTTATTAAAACCCAATAGAACACAGCACTCAAACGATTTTTCAAGGGGGGGCCCTACACCAATCAGCATCCAACATTATAGGACTTGGCGATTCGCCATTGGAGTTCTCAGTCTCCAGGCGCCCTCTGGCCCTCTGGGGATCCCTAACCGCGGTTAAGAAGACCAAGGGCAGGCGATGCACTTCTTCCATGGGCTGCGCCAGCAGCTGTAGCACCTGCTGCGCCAGGGCGGCCGAAGAAACGAAGCCGAAAACATATGTGTAGTGTACATAAATATATGTGTATATAAAATATGGTATATAATATATATATATACAATCGAGAAGGCAAAGAATAACACAAATAGTGTATATAAATATATACACTATATACACCTATACATATTACATAATATATATAGTTATACTGTAAACAACTTCATAGTTGGCTGTACAAGTAGTGCTCATGGCCTTGGTCCACCCCTTCAAGCAGAAGCGCCTCCAGCAGAAGGGCCTTTCGAAGGGCAAACGCAGGCTCCTGGAGGCTGCTGCGAGGCAAGGCCGACCCTTCTCCGTTGATCCCCAAAAAGTCATTGAAAATCACTGAGTTTCATTGAAAATGAGTGGAAACTTATTGTAAAGTCATTGAAAGTTCATGAAAGTCATTGTAAACCTTAGTGAAAACTCAATTCGTCAGGTGTTTTCAACCGGTTTGTTCGATCCAGTTTTCATGGTGGAATCCCCATGTGGGTATGTCAGAACATGCGGCATAACCCTCAGAATGTCAGATTAATGGGGTAAAATTTGGTAAAACTAATATAACATATATATATATATAATATAATGATAATAACATATAATATCTAATATTATATATTTTGTTTGTTGTAAATAAGTATATATATATATATATTATCAAAATTATATAATTTTTACTAATATATACATAAACTATTGGAATTGGGGGTGCCCCATGTTCAAGACAAACTCATCTAAAACGCAAAAGAAAAAGACATGCCTGGTTCTGGCTGCCTTAGATCCTGTGTGGTAAAATGCAAAGATTGCTACAGGCCTGACGGTGACTTTTGGGATGCTTCCATCCATGCAGGTTGAGAGCTCAGATATTTGCTGAAACAAACATGGCTGGATCAGTACAAACATGCTGATGAACATAAGGCAAAATCATTGAGTCAGTGGGAAAGCCTTCAAAGATCTCGGTGGCTGGAAACAATTGAAACTTCAGGGTATTCCAATTCGCCGGTGTAACCCATCGAAAGCCTTTCAGGCCGTATGTTGGGGGCTATCAAAGTTTAGTGCACTGTCATTCCCAAGATTTCAGCTTGAACAATGCTAAACAGATTCATCAGACACAACCAACTATGCGCCTCCTCCCCAGTAGCCTGTATTTGACCCATGTGATCGAATGATAAATCAGGGAGCTTAGATTAGATTGAACACACATATATATATAGTTATATCATATACTTAACCTTAGATACCTATACTTTATTGGGAGCTTAGATTCAGTGGAAACTGCTTGGCCAACTCGTTGGTCTCAAAAAAATCCCGCCGTAGGTCGGCACCATTAAAAAAACCAGGCATGTCCACATATCATGATGCATATGTTACTAAAAATAAAAACACACAGTGTCACTCATCAGTTTTTGAGCTTATCTTATGCTAACTGATTATTTGATTGGATCATCAAAGTCTGTAAAACATGCATGGGCTGAGGACCCACAGGTCTTGCCAGTCGCCATCCGGAACCTTACAGACCCAAATCTTGATGGTCAAGTTGTCAATGCCCCACAATTTCTAGCTAAGCCCTGAATTTTGGGTGTCATTTCACAATTGAATACCCAACAAGGAGCGTGATTTGGGTTCTAGAAAAGGGCCTATATCCAAAACAGCAAGTTTAATGGTGGTAAATGAATGTAAATGATGATTAACCAGCCGATTTGGCGGTCCCTACAAAAAAAAAACAACTAACATGACATCTCTGCCAAATTGAAGAAGACTTTCCACTCAAAATGGGCTATATGCAGGGTCCGTCTATATTATTAGTTTAGGGGATGGCTAGGTCCCATTGCTTGATAGTTAAATCAAGGTCCTTCTCGTGGCGCCCGGTTTCTGCCACCTTTCAGCTGAGAGAAAACCATGACTTCACCAGTCGACTTTCGGCATATTCTGGTTGGTGGTGCAATAACCATCTTGAAAAATATGAAAGTCAGTTGGGAGGGATTATCCCATATATTTAATATGTATATATATACATATCATGGAAAATAAAATTCATGTTACAAACCACCAACCAGTATGATCAGTATGTGGATTTACCAAACATCAAACTTGCTTGTGACCAATCGACATGATGACATGGTCATTTCACGAAACTGGAAATTGAAGTGATTACCAGAGGGTAAATTGAGAAATCCGGAAGGCATGGATCCAAGTTCCACAGTTTGGCCAAGCGTTGAAGGCGGTTAAATCCGACATTAAAATTTAAAATAGATGACATATTCTTTGATGATTAAATACCCGTTCACCAACAAAACTAGAGATCTTAAGTGGGAATGCAACCAACTGCCTGACGCCCCGAAAAAAGAGATGGCTAACAAACTCTTTTTACGCTTAATTACCAATGGTTGTCGGTGGTTAACAAGCCCCAGGCATCTACACTTTCGTGTTGCAGGCATCTCCTTCGCAGGAGTTGTGTTCAATTCGGGTTTGGTCAAAGGGGATACCACCAGAATGGCTAGTACAATGCGGGACATGATGTGCCATGATTCCGTAAATCGTCAAATTTGGGGTTTACCCCAGTTTCAATTGCGAAATTCTTACCATTCCCCGCCTGTCCATTTTGGGTAAAATGAAGTGATGAGGTAAATCCAATGAGACACTATTCCAATTGAGTTTTTTTGCGTTTATTGCTCATGATATACCCCTAGCTTCAACACGAAAATGCTCTTCGGCGTCAGCAATTCCACTTCGAGGGTACAGATACTACACAGGGCATGTCCTCAATATAGATCATAAAAGCTTAACGCACTTTAACCATCTTCACTTCCCCAATCATCCCTACAAAAATATTCAAGATTGGCTGATGGTCATGGTTACCCTCTTTGGATACCTCGCAGGGGTCACTGTATGCTGTTGAAAGCCCTTGTAAGACTTGTAATATAAAACACCTCGGCATGACATTCCCAACCCCGATAGCGATCTTCTGCGAACAGCTTCTCCAAGATTCATTGCTCGTGAAAATGCATTTTCCAAAAGAATCAAAGACCGTGGCGGCCATGGCCAATCTTAGATACCCTATATCCCTATTGAATCCCTATGATGCCCTGTGCTTCGTTCTTTCTCAGCTGGGTATGATGTGAAAATTGTTGGTTAAGCCCTCAGGCGTTCGGTTTCAATATCACCCCCCAGGAAATTCAAAAGCCCCAGGTTACAAATGTCTCGGAAATTCATCCCTTATTAGTCATTATTATTCAACGTAGGAATCTGGTAATCTGGTGTTGACATTAGTTGATTGTATTCCCACAACAGGCGCCTTCCCCAGTTGACAGGCGCCTTTGACACTAAATTCCCAGTCATGATCTGCTGCAGCTTTGTCGAGATCTTGCAGCCAGCGGCTGGCTCTTTGGGGAGAGCGGATCAAAAACACAAAGTATGGCTTTCCCGATGAAGAGTTGGTTACTCTCTCTCTCTATGTATAAATAAATATATATATATATTATATTATATTCTACACCGTACATTGTATCTCCAGCATAAAGCTCGGACTATTGCAAGATATTGCAAGATATATTGCACCAACTTGCCTTGGGGGCGCCCACAGGGTCGATATGAGGCCATGGTCAGCTTTTCTCTAGGGTAGTAATATGTAATAATATGTAATAATCATCTACAGTATGCTGTAGTGGTGCTGAGTTTGCTACAAATATACCCAAGTCCAATAAAGATCTCAGGAACATCCACTGACACAGTCCAGGTCGCTGTTGTGCCCGTCAAACAAGGCAAGGTGATGGCTCAACTTTGTTGCTGTATGTCCTGTAGTGAGCAGAAACTGTATATATCAGCCCGGTCCCCGGACCCCCCCCCCCCCCCCCCCCCCCCCCCCAATGGTATCCCCCCCACTCCTAACCCCCCCCACCCCCCCAAAACCTAGTATTTGCATGTTATTTGCACATATACATACATATACACATTTATACTCCCCTTTCCACCCCTCCAACCTCGCATCTCTACGTTATTTGCAGCACTTGAGAGCCACGACCTCGTCAACGGACCTTGTCTACCTGTATATTTCTATCATAACCTTTTTTTTCGAACCGCCTATAGCGTGCCTCGCACATGGTTTACAACATATTTGCTACCTATGGATTACGCAAAGCTTACCTATGCAAACCTAGACATATGTACAGTAGAAAAAACAATATATATATATATATATATATATATGTGCACATTCTAGATACTACATATTGACATCTTGATCTTGTATCTATTACATATTTCGTCTACATTGTACATACTGTACACGTATAATTATATATATATATATGTATGTATGTATATATATATATATATGCAATACATGTGTATATATATATATATATGCATATATATATGCATATATATATGTATATACATAAACTCTAGATATACAGCGTGCATTGCTGTCGATATTCAATATACCACATATACTATGTAAAAATTATTCAACGAACATATTTACCTATATTGTATATATTACATCTACTGTGGATACAGTATGTGTGGCATATACTATCTATATCAAAATCCGCATATACGATATATATATATATATGTTCAATATATATATATATATGTCAAATATATATATATATATATTTGACATATATATATATATTGCATATATTCTATTTATATCTTACATATTATATATATGTTTATATGTGTATATACACCACACATACACTTTATCTACATACACCTGGCTGCTGAGAAAACCCCCCCTCCCCTGCCACAGGGAGGGGGGGGAACCATCTGGCTGGGAGGGGGGGGGTGTGGGGGTCCCTGCTCATATATATATATATATATGTATATATATATATATGTAATATATATATATATATACAGAGATAATGTAAGTTCACTCCTGTTTCAATTCCTGCACAAAGGTTGCTACATCAGACCCACATGACACGTTTGAGTAAGCCCGGGATGGTTTACCTTTCCAAATACATACTGGTGGAGAGTCAAAATATGAAGCCACCTAGTGAACACAGACCGTAATTCAAGTATATAAGTATTTAATCTCAGGGTTTAGATTGCAATCCGCTGAACACAAGCTGGCATCAAAAGGACAATTTTACAACTGCTGATAGATAGAAAACAATGGCAGGTTAGTCGTGCCCTCTAAACCGTATAACCTCTGAGATCCTCTGAGCTATCCAAGTCAGCGGTCAAGTATGAGAGATACCCAATAATCCGTCCGAGATCATCTGAGCAACCAACCATTAGGGTGTCCTTTTCAATCATCCCAAATAGGGGTATACCCAATAATAATCTCCAATTGAGGATTTTTTATTGTGGACTTTACATGAATCGTATACAGGTATATCGAATGCAAACAAAAACGTACATCACAATCACAAGTTGGCATGACCAATCTTAGACATCCAGCAAAACAAAAATAAATTCTTAGCTGGTTAGTAGATAATCCCGTTGATACCAAAAGACTAAAGGATTATATAGTTTCTGTCCATCCAAGCTTGACCTAGTTGGGGATGACTTATGGCTTATTGCATGTCCCATCTGCCTGGGGAATGGAAGGAGTGTAGAACCCATTGAGCGTGGACAACACCTGCCAAGGACAGAGATTGGCCTATCGAACTGAGGGATTTAACATGATTTTGTTCAAGAATACACTACGAATACTAGATGCAGGTTTTCCGTGAAAATTGGGTCCCTAAAAAAAACTGGATTAACATCAATTTTCCAGTCCAACATGCCAATTTTGGGGCAATTACTAGATACCGAATTTTCAGATACACAATTATCATGTTGCTAGTTCTACATATCCCAAGAAATTTGAAATATCCCCATGAATCCTCATGATATGTATCACCATAAAATGCTTAGTTAATGTTGGCTATATACCCGTCCATGAAATCACATTAAAACTACAACTCATTATAAAACAACGATATTCCCCTAAATCCAGATGAGACATGTCTTAAACCACGCTAAAATCAATAGCTCTTAAAATATCTTAGATCACATTATAACCCCGTAAATCACACTTAATGGTGTGTTGAAATAGTGGATGGAAGAAATCCTGCACCATCTTGGATGGTTGAAACCCTATATTCTGGAGAGCGACACCCCGTGGGGGAATGAATGTTCATTGAACATGATAAACAAACACACTGTAAATACCGAAACTTTTTGCACTTGGAGAGTCTGAAACCCTATTAAAACGCAAGTTTTCATCATGTTCTTGTCATGCACTCAAAAAAACAACAACAACCAAAACAAAAACAAACCACTAGAAGCACCAACTATAACATTGACATCATCCTTCTTGTTGAGAGTGTACAAAGTGCTTGTATGTATATATATATATCCCTATGCACACCTACACCTTCATATATCTTCACAACTGTTGCAAGTGCAAATGATTCTATATACAATGAAGGTTGAGACGATACCAAATCAACAAGTTCATTAAGAAACAACTATATCACATTAATTGCTTCTAGCAACATAATTTCTCCATCACCTCAATTACACTAGCCACCTATTGATATTACTGTATACTGTATACTCTATTCCAAAATGCACAAGCGACCCATTCTTATGGCAAGTGGTGCAGGAGTTTTGTTCTATTATGTTTTCGCAATTGGAAGTCATTGCTTGTAGTTCTTTGCAAGCATCATAGGAACAGTTTAGTTCTGTCACACAAGTCTGTAGATGCCAGTGATTTATGACAGCGTATGACAGCCTTTGCTGATGTGAACCCCATTTTTTTCTCTAAAATGACAGCTTTAAGCCCCTTCTAGTCAGACAACTTTGAAAACACTGTAGATACCAGCATGTTTTTTTCCATGTTTAATGCAAAAATCACCCCACCATGAGGGGCCATTCTCATAAATAGTGGGATAAACCATCAACTGGTGAATCACCACCTCCAGCTGTCGTCCCCGTGGTCCCCCGGTGTCACCATGGCGCTCTGCGTCGCCAGCGCCCAGGGCTCCGCAAAGAGCTTCAGGCGCGCGCGGCAGCGGAGGAAATCCTGGCCGTGGAGAGGGACTTCGCTGGGCGGAGGTGGTGGGTTGATAACTGGTGAGTTACCCTCTGGTAAACTAACATAGCTATGGAAAATCACCATTTTTCATGGGAAAATCCACTATAAATGGCCATTTTCAATAGTTATGTTAGTTTACCAGAGGGTAACTATGGTTTTTGATCGGGAATGGTTTAACTATGATAATAATACAATGGAATAACATGAAATAGCTATCATGCTTCAAATAATTACAAGAAAAATCCTGGAGTAGATGGAATATTTAAGTTCACAAATCATCACAACAAATGGGATGATGTTTGAATTGCCATATTCTATCTACTTCAGGATTATACATGTACAGATGGGAATTAATGGAATTTAACCAATAATAATGGGAATATCATGGGAATACGATATGATATGTGATGTATATCCGCCGACCCCGGCCGACAGCAAGGGGGAGCGCGTCAGGGAAGAGAGGTTGTGGACAACAACAAATACAACAACGGGTCTTGGGAAGCTTTCCAAAGTAGCAGCAGCAGTAGCAGCAGCAGAGCAGCGGCAGTGGTAGCAGCAGCAGAGCAGCGGCAGCAGCCAGTAGCCAGCAGCCAGTAAGCAGGCAGGAGGCAGCCAGGAGGCAGCCAGGACTCAGCAGCCAATAGGCAGCAGCCGCCAAGCAGCCAGTAAGCAGGCAGCAGGCGGCCAGTAGTCAGCAGCCAGTAGGCAGCTGCCGCCAGCAGCTGCAGCAGCTGCATTCTCCGGGGGCTCTTTTGAGCAGGCGGCAGCAGCAGCAGCAGCAGGAGGCTCAGGTGTAGCCTTGTTTAGAGCAGTTTCAGACGAGACGTTAGGCAGTTTTTGGTCATTTTTTCTGGCCCATCCGCCCTTCGCTGCCATGGTGTTTCCCTGTCCGGGACTCCGGGACCCACGTTTTTGCAGCAGCCAGCGGCAGAAGCAGCCAGCAGCAGCCAGTAGCCAGCAGCCAGTAAGCAGGCAGCAGTAGCTACTAGTCAGCAGCCAGGACTCAGCAGCCAGTAGGCAGCTGCCGCTAGCACCTGCAGCAGCAGTATTATCCGGGGGCTGTTTTTTGAACAGGCAACAGCAGCAGCAGCAGCAGCAGCAGCAGCAGGAGGCTCAGGTGTAGCCTTGTTTAGAGCAGTTTCAGACGAGACGTTAGGCAGTTTTTGGTCATTTTTTTCTGGCCCATCTGTCCTTCACTGCCATGGTGTTTCCCTGTCCGGGACCTACGTTTTTGCAGCAGCCAGCAGAAGCAGCCAGCAGCCAGCAGCAGCCAGTAGCCAGCAGCCAGTAAGCAGGCAGCGGCAGCCAGTAGTCAGCAGCCAGGACTCAGCAGCCAGTAGGCAGCTGCCGCTGGCAGCTGCAGCAGCATTATTATCCGGGGGCTGTTTTTTGAACGGGGCAGCAGCAGCAGCAGCAGGAGGCTCAGGTGTGGCCTTGTTTAAAGGTTTCAGACGAGACGTTAGGCAGTTTTTTGTTATTTGGCGTCGTGCGTCCAGCATCCAGAAACCATTCCTTGCTTTGAGCAGCGGAGCAGCAACAACCGAAGTAGCAGCCGAGCAGCTTACAGCAGGAGCAGGGCAGCAGGAAGGCCATGTGGACACAGTTGTCAAGCTGCCAAGAGCTGGAAATTTGTGTTTTTTAACTAAGGTTTCAGAAGGGACGCTAGGCCTCGTGGATTATCATTGCAGGGCACCATTCCGTCCCTCAGTGCCATGGTGTTTTCCTGTCCGGGAGGTGCGTTTTTTTAAGGCAATTTGTTGGCTAAAAGCACACCAGCAGGAGGAGGGGCTTGTGTAGCAGCAGCAGCAGCAGCAGCAGGAAGCAGCGCAGCAGGAACAACCGAAGTAGCAGCCGAGCAGCTTACAGCAGGAGCAGGGCAGCAGGAAGGCCATGTGGACACAGTTGTCAAGAGCTGCCAAGAGCTGGAAATTTGTGTTTTTTAACTAGGGTTTCAGAAGGGACGTTAGGCCTCGTGGATTATCATTGCAGGGCACCATTCCGTCCCTCAGTGCCATGGTGTTTTCCTGTCCGGGAGGTGCGTTTTTTAAGGCAATTTGTTGGCTAAGAGATGTGGCAAGCAGTTGCAGCAGCCGCAGCAGAAGCAGCGCAGCAGCAACAACCAAAGTAGCAGCCGAGCAGCTTACAGCACGCAGCAGCAGGAGCAGGGCAGCAGGAAGGCTATGCGGACAAGTTGCCAAGAGCTGCCAAGAGCTGCCAAGAGCTGGAAATTTGTGTTCTTTAACTAGGGTTTCAGAAGGGACGTTAGGCCTCGTGGATTATCATTGCAGGGCATCATTCCGTCCCTCAGTGCCATGGTGTTTTCCTGTCCGGGAGGTTCGTTTTTTTAAGGCAATATGTTAGCTAAAAGCACACCAGCAGGAGGAGGGGCTTGTAGCAGGCAGCAGCAGCAGCAGCAGCAGGCAGCGCAGCAGCAACAACCGAAGTAGCAGCCAAGCAGCTTACAGCAGGAGCAGGGCAGCAGGAAGGCCATGTGGACACAGTTGTCAAGAGCTGCCAAGAGCTGGAAATTTGTGTTTTTTAACTAGGGTTTCAGAAGGGACGTTAGGCCTCGTGGATTATCATTGCAGGGCACCATTCCGTCCCTCAGTGCCATGGTGTTTTCCTGTCCGGGAGGTGCGTTTTTTTAAGGCAATTTGTTGGCTAAAAGATGTGGCAAGCAGTTGCAGCAGCCGCAGCAGAAGCAGCGCAGCAGCAACAACCAAAGTAGCAGCCGAGCAGCTTACAGCACGCAGCAGCAGGAGCAGGGCAGCAGGAAGGCCATGTGGACAAGTTGCCAAGAGCTGCCAAGAGCTGGAAATTTGTGTTTTTAACTACATTAATCAGAAGGGACGTTAGGCCTCGTGGATTATCATTGCAGGGCACCATTCCGTCCCTCAGTGCCATGGTGTTTTCCTGTCCGGGAGGTGCATTGTTTGAAGGCAATTTGTTGGCTAAAAGATGTGGTAAACAGCTGCGGGCTGCAGAGGTGGCAAACAGGTGCAAAACGCTGCTGCCAAGAGCTGTCAAGAGTTGGACCTTGTGTTCTTTAATGTTTTTTAACTAAGGTTTCAGAATGGACGTTAAGGCCCGTGGATTACCATTGCAAGGCACCATTCGTCCTTCAGTTCCATGGTGTTTTCCCGTCCAGGAGGCTGGTCAGCCGCAGCATCAGCAGCAGCCCAAGCCGGCACACCAAAAGCAGCTGGTGCTTTCCTGTCCGGGAGGTGCGTTTTTTTAAGGCAATTTGTTAGCTAAAAGATGTCGCAAGCAGTTGCAGCAGAAGCAGCGCAGCAGCAACAACCAAAGTAGCAGCCGAGCAGCTTCCAAGAGCTGGAAATTTGTGTTTTTTAACTAGGGTTTCGGAAGGGACGTTAGGCCCCGTGGATTATCATTGCAGGGCATCATTCCGTCCCTCAGTGCCATGGTGTTTTCCTGTCCGGGAGGTTCGTTTTTTTAAGGCAATATGTTAGCTAAAAGCACACCAGCAGGAGGAGGGGCTTGTAGCAGGAGCAGCAGCAGCAGCAGCAGTAGCAGCAGCAGCAGGCAGCGCAGCAGCAACAACCGAAGTAGCAGCCAAGCAGCTTACAGCAGGAGCAGGGCAGCAGGAAGGCCATGTGGACACAGTTGTCAAGAGCTGCCAAGAGCTGGAAATTTATGTTTTTAAACTAGGGTTTCAGAAGGGACGTTAGGCCTCGTGGATTATCATTGCAGGGCACCATTCCGTCCCTCAGTGCCATGGTGTTTTCCTGTCCGGGAGGTGCTTTTTTTAAGGCAATTTGTTGGCTAAAAGATGTGGCAAGCAGTTGCAGAGGGTTTCAGAAGGGATGTTAGGCCCCGTGGATTACCATTGCAGGGCACCATTCGTGTGTGTTCCTATCCAGGAGGCTGGTCAGCAGCATCAGCAGCTGCCGAAGCCAGCACACCAAAAGCAGCGGAGCAGCAACAACCGAAGCAGCCAAGCAGCTTACAGCATGAGCAGGGTAGCAGGAAGGCCATGTGGACACAGTTGTCAAGAGCTGCCAAGAGCTGGAAATTTGTGTTTTTTAACTAGGGTTTCAGAAGGGACGTTAGGCCTCGTGGATTATCATTGCAGGGCACCATTCCGTCCCTCAGTGCCATGGTGTTTTCCTGTCCGGGAGGTGCGTTTTTTAAAGGCAATATGTTCGCTGAAAAGCACTGGAAATTTGTGTTCTTTAACTAGGGTTTCAGAAGGGACGTTAGGCCTCGTGGATTATCATTGCAGGGCACCATTCCGTCCCTCAGTGCCATGGTGTTTTCCTGTCCGGGAGGTGCGTTTTTATTAAGGCAATATATATGTTAGCTAAAAGCACACCAGCAGGAGGAGGGGCTTGTAGCAGCAGCAGCAGCAGCAGCAGCAGGAAGCAGCGCAGCAGTAACAGCCAAAGTAGCAGCTGCAGCAGCTTACAGCAGGAGTAGGGCAGCAGGAAGGCTATGTTGATACAGTTTTTCTACGGCTTCAGACGACATGTTAGGCACTTTTTCGGCTGCATTTTGTCGTTGTTCCGTCCTTCACTGCCACTGTGTTTCCCCGTCCAGGAGTCACGTTTTGGGACTCGGCGCAGCAGTAGCAAGAGTAGCAGCAGTAGCAGCAGTAGCAGCAGCAGAGGCAGCAGCAGCCGCAGCAGAAGCAGCGCAGCAGCGCAGCAGCAACAACCAAAGTAGCAGCCGAGCAGCTTACAGCACGCAGCAGCAGGAGCAGGGCAGCAGGAAGGCCATGTGGACAAGTTGCCAAGAGCTGCCCAGAGCTGGAAATTTGTTTTTTTTTTGTGTTTTTTAACTAGGGTTTCAGAAGGGACGTTAGGCCTCGTGGATTATCATTGTAGGGCACCATTCCGTCCCTCAGTGCCATGGTGTTTTCCTGTCCGGGAGGTGCATTTTTTACGGCAATTTGTTGGCTGAAAGATGTGGCAAACAGTTGCGGGGTGCAGAGGTGGCAAACAGGTCCAGATTCAAAACCCACTCGCTCTGAAATATCAGCTAGCAAAAATAGGCCCGGGGTCGGCGGCAGGGGCGGCAGCCCTTAGATAAATATAATACTATATAATATCGTGATAGCATTATATAATGAGTGTAGGATTGATGATTAATACACAGTGGCCCCTCAAAACGATAGCTAAGTTGTTTTATAACTCTAAGAACTATGGTTTGTGATACTTACTTACAACTAAGGTATTCATGGGGTTTACCATCTAACACACATCACTGGGGCACTGGACTGGGGCACCCCATATTGTATACAACAGGGGTGATGTGACTAGATTCTGATGAAACGAAGTGGGTTAACAAAGAAGAACACACCTAAGGATAGTTACACTAGCAGTCACGCTCAGAAATCATTTGTTGGTCTCAAATCTTGGGGTTCTAACATAGAATTGGCATATGTCGGTATCATTGGGATATTATTCATGAAGACATATTCCCAGCAGTTCCTTCACCAATCTTTCGCCAAATTCAAGGTTTTAAAACACCTAAGATCCCCTCTGCTTGAAGGAGCCAGTTCTTCAACGATTTACGCTTCCATTTAGTCATTTGCCCACCATAGCCGCTACAGCCTCCAAATCTTTCCGGAACTTGCTGTGGAAAGCCTCGTGAAAACTTGCTGACTCGCAAGTCGTGAATCTGAAGTGAAATTCTGGGTATAACTAGTCCTGTCTTTAAAACACACAATATGTGCATCTTGCGTATGTATATACCAGCATATAATCAAAGAGCGTATCTAAGGTCTAAGTCCCCCCAACCCACATTCACACTCCAAACACATACACCTAGATGCTATCTATACTGGAACCCAGTTGGAAGGTAAATTGTATGGTTTAAATGCTATGCTTGTAAGTCATGTGAGTAGCAAGTATACAAACTAGCGACATGTATTTACTCATTGATGTGTACTGTGATTACACGATAAGAATGGTATAGAGTTACTCTTTGGTAATCAAACATGGCAATCAATGTCCCCCATGTTTAGATGATATTCCCATGTAGATGAGCATGTTGCATGGTGATTTTCAATTGCCACCTTTGATTGCAGGAGGCTAGAGCAAATGAGTGGACCACATGGAAGAATGCGAGGAAGACCTTATGATACATGGCCAGCACTAAAACCACTGAGTAGCTTTAGATCCCTAAAAAGAACAAACAAATCGCAACATCTAGAAACATCCCACACCAAGCCAGTTGTGTCCAGTTTGATTGTTCATACCACCATGCATTGGTGGCTTTATAAAAGTGGAACAACAAAATGTTGTTCAAGTATCATACTGCTGTTTCGGATAAATCATAAGAATTTAACAGCCGGAAAAGTTGCGCCATTTTGGAGTGGTTACCCTCACTATTGCATTTGTTGCATATGTATATAATGTTATATAATGATCATAGTCTGTGTTTGTCTAAACAGGTGGTTACCCTAAATTTCATGGCTAATGATCGAGTGTTGCCCATTAAATCTGCCCGACTGGAGGGGTATACTAATTGTTTTTAAGACATACTCCCAACAAAAACATCAACTATTAATATGAGTTACATCTCCCATTCTATAATATTATTTTTTCCCCGTGGAATGACTAATGTCATGGTCAATCTTTGATCGTCCACAAAAAAAATGTCATTGTTTGCTGGTTGTTTGGTGATTTTCCATTTACAGCAAGAAACCAAAGGATTAAACTACCCATCGCCATTGTTTTTTCTCATCGTTGAATGATTCATGGGCATTTCAGGGGCCTAAATTGGAGGTACCTACCATGAGTCACGTACCCTCTGGTAAACAAACAAAAAGCATCAAAAAGCTATTGAACATGGCCCATTTATAGTTGATTTACCTATTAAAGATGGTGATTTTCCATAGCTATGTTAGTTTACCAGAGGGTAAGGCCTATGTACTGTCTAAGTCCCCACCATATTGATGGCCTGAAGTATGGTACAGTACCTCGATTTTTGGATCCTGAAATGTCCATCGAACTAGGAAAATGATGATCGTCATTGTTTGTCAAGGGTATATTCACAATTGTGGCCCTTTACCAGTTATAAGTACTGATAACCCCATTTGTGGAATGTAAAATCCCATAGAAATAACCAGTTATAACCACTTATAACTGGTAAAGGTCCTTATATTCAGGAAATGTCCATTGAACTGAGGGGTGGTTCGGCCCGCCTCGCTTTGCTTCTGCGCTTCCTGGTAGAGGCTCAAAACCAGAACGGTGTCCTCACCCTCCAAGATGGAGGCCCTGCGAGTACCGGTTAAAACGCCTCTGGTGTCATGAAACAATAGGGATTTCAATGGAATTCAAGCATCAAAATCACAAAACAATAGGGATTTCATGGGATTTAGTGGGATTTTTCCTGCACCAGTTGGTCATTCTTGGGATTAAAAATCGAAAAAATATTGGGAAATATTGGGATATGAATGGGATATGAAAGGGATAATAATTGGGTACCTACCATGTAACACTGTAAATGACGGGATTATCATGGTATAAACCACCAACTGGTGCAGGATATCCTGCGCAGATTAGCCTCTAGCAATCAACCATGCCAATGGAAAATCTCCCGAACATAAAAGAAATTTCTAGCTGGGGAAATCATCTATGAATCCATAAATGGTGGATGTTCAAGTACTGGTGCTGGATTGTGTCCACGATATCGTGACATCGGGTAAATAGGGATATCTCGTCCATGCAATCCATGTTCATGATTTACAGGCGTATGACAATAATATATATATATAATATCATATATAATCATATATATATAGATACTTCTTAAAATAAGGGGGCCCGCTGGTGAGCTTTGATTTGGGGGTATATGATTCGGGGTAGCCCTTTTGGCATCAGAATTCCCATAGGTGGAATCAACCAGAAAAACACATGGCCGAAGTTGTGGCCTTTAGCACCTCCACTCTAATGGTACCTAAAGGATTGTAATTCACTTGGCCTCTAGTCATTTTAAGGGGTTACTGAAGATTGCTTTGGTATCCTTTATGATATATATATATATAGCTATATATATATATATCTATATATATATATAGCAACCCCAAAAAATCCAGAAATATGTAAAACAAACACCACTGTTCTAAGATGTTCTTTTCTATGGAGGTTTCCTAACATGGGGACCCCGAAATCATCCATTTGATCGGATGTTCCATGAAAAAAACACATCCAGCTACTGGGGTACCCCCCATGACTATGGAACCCACAGATCCCAGCTGGCCCGCGATGGTCGTCCAGAAACTGCAGGAGCCTGTCCTGAAACCAAATGAACAGCGGCGAGGTTCAACCAAATTATGAAACCTTATTAACCCCCGATTTCATTCTTACAGTAACATGGGATTTGTTTCACCTTTTTCATCCCCAACCGAAATCCAAAACGGTGGTTTGATATGGTTTAATCGTCTTGAAACCAACAACAGCCACTCACTACAATATCAAACACCCTCATTCTATGGTCCCACATATGCATAAATCACCTAACCACGGTTTCTGCGTGTTGTTTAATATAAGGAAGGGATTATCTAGGTTGGAATCACTTTCCGTTGGACCGAAATGACCTGCGAATACGTGCATTTGCAGCCATTTCAAACGCAGTCACCAGTACCAAACATGGCCATTTTTTGGTTTCCAGCTGTCGCTGCGACTCCGATACGTGTGAGATATATGGTGACCATATGGTGATTACTCACCAGTATTTGCAAACTTGAGGCTCCACCCTCCGGACTTCTATCGGAGAAAGGTTCTGTGGCTGGAAGTCCATTGTAGTAACTGTCAAGTACAATTAATATTAATATAATTAATCTAATTCATCGGATAATCTCCAATAAATCATCATAGGAACTGTCATAGTATATGGTTTTTTGTATGGTGGGATCCCTGTGAGGTCGACAATAAGCATTAATTGGAAAAGCCGCAGAAGATGTACCGCAAACATACCGCAGATCATACCAAACATGTACCCAAACATACCAACAGTTCAAACATGTTCAGTGGATTTCTGGACGTCCAGAACTGTTGAACTCCGGCCCTGCCTCTGCCTTCTGTAGAGCGCTGTCATCCATCTGCAAGGTGTAGAGTCTTATGAACCTGGTGCCGCCGTGGCCAATCCCCATGTCATGGAAAAAGAAACCTGTGTTGTATGAGCTGAAGGAAAATTTGGGAGAATACCCGGGTTGAAAGAAATTGAAAAAGGCCAGTGGAATTGCATAATTTGAATGAATTGTTTAATGTTGAAGTTGAATCATTGATTGAAACAAATGCAATCTATGACATCGGAACAACTCATGGGTCTTACTTCATTACCTGATTGTTTTTTATATATATATATATATCTATATATATATATATAGTCTTATATAGTATAATTCATCATAGTTCCTTTCGTTGCTTGTGAACGTCCCCTTGTCCTAGACCTAATGCCCGATGTGAAAAAATCCCAGCTCATGATGATCATCCCCCCTGGTAGCATACCAAACAAACAACCCATCAACAAACCACCAACAAACCATCCTCTGTCAAGTAGATCCCTATAATCCTATATAATCATATATATATATATATAATCCCTATATAAATTATAGATGCTAGCTTCTTCAGACTTAGTCTGATTATCACTTGTAACTGGTACAATCCCCATTCAATTACGATTCTCTTGAAAGGTTCTTGAAACGAGGAAAACCGCCCTGGACCTATGAGATACCCGGGGTCTCAACTGGGACCCCAACTCTTGCTCAAAAGCAGGTACCTGACAGTCGGCTGGCGCCATAAAGGGAACCAATGGGAACCAACGGAACCAATCCAAATAATCATAGGAACAAACATCGAACTCCAATAACATCCATGCCACTTCAGATTTTCTCTACGGTTTATAATTCAGGTCAGTAAAAAAAACTGTAATGTTCAGCTAACAACTCATCAAATTCTCAATCTGAATTGCCACGCCCAAACCATTTTTGTATTAAGCAAAACCCAGGATATCTAAACCACACACACACACACTGCGCAGTGTGTGAATCCTACAAACGTCATCGACATGTTACTCAACAAACAACATTCTATCCGTACTGTTGTAGGTTGGAAGCAACCGCCCTCTCCAATGTCTTTTGGTTCTGTTGTTTTTGAACCCCATTACAAGCGTTTCTATCCTCATTCATTGTGATATTGTGTCTATATCCATCGTTGTTTGTTACATGTTTCTGTGCTGTCATTCCATCCTAGTTGTTTGTCGGTGTTTTGCCTTCGTGTCGGTTTGTGCTCTTGTTGATATCTCTGCATTTGCAGTTGTTTTTTTAGTTTGTCGGGTCCTCCTCTACCCCATATCTTGCTGCTGAGAAGTTCTGAGATCAGCATCATCCACAAAATAGCATCTTAATAATATTTCAAAAGAAGACAATTACAGTACTATCTATCTGTGTGTTCCTGTACCCATATACATACAATCTTACTCCACCTTTAGCCAACACCTATCCTCTGTTTAGACATTTTTAGTGCTTGAACTTTCACTTTTAATGCTCAAACATGCTCAAGCCAAGGCCCTGCCTTATTTGATATCCGATGTGTACCAAGTATCCGTCATTGGATTGATATACTGTGATGATTCCTCCAGCCAAAATACACCGAAATCCATGAGACAGGCCGCAAAAATGCCGAGCATATCCTGCAAAAATGGCCGCTCTCTGTCCATTCTGCGTATTTCAAAAAACCTTGGCCCTGCCAAACGAGCTCCATCTTCCACCAGCGACATGGGACTTGTCCAGCGGTCGTATTCTTTTTGGTATCTCGCGGGCTGTACGCCAAATCATGTTAACCCCGCATTGGTCAAACCCAACACTGAATCCATCAAGGTTTCTGAACCAGCAAATTAAATTGCACAATTTCAAGCCCGAGACAATCAATTTTGATTGACTCAGTAGGGGTTTGGCCCACTTCTTTGGGTAGTCCAGTATCAATGTTAATGACTGGTAAACACCAGAATATTGAAAAACTGTAAAGTGGGTCGCAATAAACTCGCATGTTTGGTGACATTTGCCCCGTTTTCTGTGGCAGTGTGGTGTGATATACGAGTTTGGTATGCCCCAAATATCGACTAGGGTATCAGTTATTTTGATGCCTAAAATACTGTATGTTGTTAAAACTACTTCCCACTTACCATGGCCAATCTTAGATACCCTGCCAAAAAAAAAACTCTTAGCTGGTGAACGTAGATAATCCCATTGATACCAAAAGACTAAAGGCTTAGTTTCTATCCATCCAAGCTTGACCTAGTTACTGACCCATGCGACACATGCGTATGGTTTCGTCTTATTGGAGTAAACCGTTGTCATGCGTTCAAGTGTTGATGTTCCGTTGCCAGGTGCTTCTGGACGGGTAGCCCACACATCAAAATCACTGGTAGATGCTTGATATTCTTTGATGATGAAATCCCTTAGGTTTGGAGGTTTCACATGTATGTAAATTAATGTAGATGAAATGTATAATATAGACACAATATATGCATTTCTGTTCGACCATCGAAAGTACTATCCAAACTAAACATTTCTAGCTGAACAACGCTGCTTGTTTTGATACATGTCAAAAAATAGCTGGACAATAATGATAGACGTTCAAACAAAGCAACTAGCTGGAAAGCACTTGAGTCACTTGAGACAACAAGAAATGTGGTAAACCCAAACATAAACCTATCATTTGGGTCGTAATTGTTGAAACTCATTTATGGTGATATTCGGGGTGGTTTATTAGTGGGCCTATCTGGAAAGAAAAACCAATGTTGATGTTTATCAACATTTTCTCATTTAAAATCATCATGGAAAAACCCTAGTTCATCATCATTTGATGATCATGTTCCCTATCAAACTCACATAAACACGGACAATCTTAAATACCCTGCAAAAAAAAACTCTTAGCTGGTGAACGTAGATAGTCCCATTGATACCAAAAGGCTAAAGGATTACAGTGTTTCTATCATTTTCTATCCAGCCAAGATTGACCTAGTAAACTAACGATGAGGACCCCATGTTCAAACACACAATCTCCAGCAGTTCTCCAGTCCGCCTGGCTTTTCAGGAGCACGTCCTGGAAAACTTGCGTCAAGGCCTCCAAGTCTAGGGCCTCAGCATGCGGCATGCGGCCCTCAAGGGTAGGTTTCGCCATGGTTTAAGCAATGTTTAAGCCATCCAAAAAGGCGGTTTTTGCTTTTTTTTTGGTGTGTTCAGCTACAAAATAAGGTAACATTGGATCTATCAACCATGAAACATCGTGCTAATGATGATACAACTACAGCAAAAGTGAGGTTTAGGGAGAATGTGTCTGCAGTTGGGTAAATATGTACATGTGTAAACCAAAGTATAACCGGGAATACCATCTTTTCGGGGCTAAAAAAAAGAGAAAACCAGCAACGTCCAGCCATGAATCATCCAACGGGTACATCACCGCCCCCCTTCTCTCACCGAGCGACGAAGTTCACCACGGAGCAGTGCTGCAAAGTCACTGGCAGCAGCTCCCGACAGCTGCTTAACCTGGGACGACTGGCACGACTGGACGATGGGAATGATGCCAACTCTGCGGATATCATGGCAGAACTAAAAAATTGTCATAGTTGACAAATGTTGACAATATACAGCAGTATACAACAGTTGACTTGGTTAAGTGTGATGGCAGTCCATGTTAAGTTATAGTTGACTCAGTTGACAACTCTAGTGGTTTGATGTGGTTTAGTGTTATACTCGGAAATCCAGCTGTACCCTCTGCAAAGCACACCTGGCAGCAGATTTAGCCAGAATACACATATTGTAGGGAAAAAACAAGGCCCCAAGGCGCACTAAAAAATGATGGCTTCGGAAGCACAAATTCCCTCATGGGTGGTGTCCCCTTTAAAAATAAGTAGCTGTACCGTACCGTACCCCCAATCAATAAAGCCATCCAAGCCCGCATGGATCCAAATAAGGCATGTTGTTATTTCATGTTATTTCATGTTATTTCCTTTTCTTCCTTTCTTGTTCTTTGCCCTTTCCTTATCAATGATGACATATGATGACTAATTTCTCAATTCGGGCCTTCAGAGAACCACCCTCTAAAAACCTTATTGGCCTTGAAAACGGGGCAGTTTTCATCCGGGCTAGTCACTAGCAAGTCCTCTTCAGTGCCACAGTTCGATCCAGAAAGAAACATAAGATTGCCGCAATTCCCAATAATGATCTCTTGTGAACCGAATGCAACATGCACAATAATATATATATATATATGTGTATATATATATATGTATGTATATATATATATATTTACTCTATCTTTACTCTATCTATATACACTTAATTGATCATAATTGTAGTTGATGTACTTAAGTAGAACTGGTGCCCCCAATGCAGGGACCTCGGCCAGGCCGCCAAAATCGCCCCAGATCTGTAGCGCTGAGCGACGACGAAATCATGAAGATCTGGAAGCTGCGCATGTTCGAAGGCTCCGTTGGATCCTGCTGTGGTCTCTCAGCGCCAGGAAATCATGAAATGTCATAGTTGTTTTTTTTGTTTTCTTTGAAGGTTCATCTTGAACATAATGAATAATGTGGCTATAGTATGCTATAGTACCCCCAGCAACAAGATAGAAACATAAAATAAATACTCTAATTTTAATGTTTTTCATTGTGATTTTTTTTTTAACGTTCTTATAGATACTGTACCCAATTGCGGGGCTCTACAGTGGGCGACCCCCAATTCCATCCAACAGCGGTCATATTTCAATGGGGAAACCTTGTGAGTGATCAGCGGCATGTCCCTTGTTTCACTTAACTTTGGCGTTTTTGCATGATGTGCTCGGCAAATGCGTAGCGTTGCTCACAGGGGGCATGGTCATAACCTCCTCCGAGTTATGGACTTTCCCTACTTATCCGGTAATCATCCGCTACTTATCTTTGGTACTTCCTGAAAATGACCAACAACCCCAGGTGTTATTCATTGTTTAAAAACCTGTTTGAACAGGAAAATAACCATTGAACAAATGTGATGTTTATAATAATATCCTCCAGTGAACTAACATAGCTGCCATGATTTGCTGTTTTCAACTGCTGATTGTCCTGTTCGCAGACTGTCAAATTACCAGGGGCTATAAAAGAAATCATGGCGAAGCCAAAATCCATCCAAATCCATCGAAATCCAACATTTTTCGGAGTAAATGATGATATTTTGCTAAGAAATAGATCTATTTTGGGATAGTTACCTTATACTAACCACCATTCCACTGGGGTCGCATGAATCAACATTACCAAAGGGTATCACATGGTATCGCCCCACTTTCAGTTGTCCACCTTGAGGCTGTTTGTGGAGAGCTTTGCAGCACTGTTGATCTGGCACATTGCGTGGCGTATGCGATCCGGTTGAGCCGAACTTCTGCATTGTTACATTGCTTCATGTTAAATTCTGAAGGCAACACATGAAGAACTTCCACTGATCTTCATCGAATTTTAGAAACACACATATATAATTTAGATATATATGTTCTTGATGTTTCCTGAAGTTTTTCGAAGGTGTCCCTTTAGAAACCCTTTAATAGCCGACATCATCCCAATTTCCGAAGCCAAGGACCTTACTCAACAGGGATCGGGATAATAGTCGTTGAACCAAAGAACAGGGATAGTCGTTGAACCAGAGACCGGCCGCGGGCGCCCCTTGCTACAGTGAGCCTAGTCTAGTGGAGGCTCAACATCTTTGAAGTGGTTAATGTATGTTAATGTTCGTCGGATTACAACCCATTTGCACACGGGATAAACATGGATAAACTGTAATTAGCAAACTTATTGACTAGAAAAGTTGAACGATTCCTGGGATCAGGGATCTCCAAGTACATCCTACAAATGGGAGTTCGGGGAGGGTACATCGTAAGGGAACCAGCTTCCCAATCAAGGTTGACCGATGTTGATGTTTTACCGCTATAGTCCACAATGGACTGGAGATAGCTTACGGATTTACATGGATTTTTACCATCCTGGTTCAACTGCAAGATACTGCAGATTATTTCAGTATATAATTGCCATCTAATTCGCGCACTGTCAATCAGCCAATGTGGTCACGCCTTTCGAGTCGACAGGCGCCGGCCCATGTGTGGTGACCCCGACGTGGTCGTGGCCGGCGTCGCCTTGGCGGACTGGGAGTCTGGGAGGCTGGCCCAGTATCAATATCCAATTATTGGGGATTTATACTAGTGATGTAATAATAGATAATGTTAGGAAGGCAATAATAAACCACCTTTTTTATGGTTTAAACATGTTTAAACATTAAAAAAGATGTAACATGGGTGATGGTGGATCCATTTGCTTCACCAGAATTACAAGGGATGGACGTTGGTTCAAGAAACAAAGGTGAAAGATGGAAAAACACCGAGTGTTCCACCACTCTTTGCTATTAATCCCCAATATCACCACAAGAGGGTGGTATAATTAACTATAAGATACTATAAGTTTGTGTATTCTGGGATCTTTCCATCAAGCCATTCCCTCAAACAAAGCAAAGTTTGGCCACGAGTGGCTGGCCACGAGTGGCAAGAGCTGAGTTGGTGCGGCAAATTGGTGACCTTCAATTCTGAGAACAATGGACAGCACGTGTTCCGAAGACACCACAGCGCAGTCAAAACAAAGGTTCAGCACTGATGAAGTTCTTCGCGATGCAAAGTCGGTCATGAACTTGGTGGTTTTGAGCAGCACACGTAAACAATACTCCGTGGCTGATCTGGACCCAAAAGATTTCCTGTGCTTCACAAGACCCAACTGGGTTACCCTTCTCACCGGGCTTGAAACCTCTCCAGGGCCTGGCTCAGTGGTTGTCCTTTCTGCTGGAAGATAGGAATCGGTGGTGCTTGCTCCGTAAGCTTGGCTGCGGGCATTCCTTCACAAGGTTCTTGATTGTTGGATTGCCTACATTATTGACAAACGACACCTCTGGGAGGCTCACCAGGCCCGCAAATAAAGGAACACAAAAGACCTGCTACTGTAAGTACCGCTCCACATCTTTGACTTACAACGCGGCCCCCCTGCAGTTATCTTTGTTGGGCTATGTTCACCCAAATGTAGATCCAGGATCCATTATAAATCCGACTGCTAAATAAACCAACAAACACCAATCTTGGAGGCACCTACTGCAACTGCAACTGTGGTTCTCTTCAGAACTAGCCAAGAACTATCAAGAATTCTAACCGTTTTTCAGTATCCTGGTATTACATGTGAGTCCAGGTCAAATTTGGGTAAAATCTACATGGCTAAAATCGACTGAATATGACCAACATAGTCCAGGTCAAGCCGGTTGGGATTAGCTGGTTCAACCACAAACATATGGCCGTGGACGCTTCACCAGTGGTGAACCAAGAAGACAACCGTTTTTTTTTTCTGTCCAAGTGATGAGGGGATAAACTCTGCAAACTCTATATTTTTCTATATTAGGATGTGTCTAAAAATGATGTCTAGCCCACATGATAATTCTAATAATTAAGGACCATGATGATAAACCATTGGATTGTGGGGTAGCCTATTTTCAAACAAACCATATATTTTGAGGTAACCTATGGATCTATGCTAACCTATAACCATATGATGTACATTGATGTACATAATCAAATTACTGTCATTGTATTGAACCCTTTTTGGAATCCTTTTGCGTCAACAAATGGATCTGCAAGGATTGAGCTTCACATGTATATGACTAGCAAATGTCAGGCAACGCGTTAAACAGCAAAGGCCTGAGCACATAAAGAACACGCTAAAATTGGATGCAGCTCTTATATATTACACTAATGTTCAAATTCATGAAAAAATGATATTGTGCTATAATACTTAAACTTAAATGTGTCCAGGCATATGTAACATATATATATATAATATTATGTCCAGGAAACATGTCATTCCGTGTTGTTGCTCGATCTGTTGCAGTGATGCTACAACCTGCTTCTCCCTGTTTGAGTCGATGGCAGCTACTTTGGTATATCACAGGGATTCAGCCACTCCCCGCAACAAAAAAACCATAGTGACTCGGCTGGTTCACCTTTTAGGGATGGTTAAGAATCCCTATGAGTAAATACCCCACGAACCATGGTTTAGCTAACCACTGTCATATTCATTCTGTTCGTAACTGCAAATGGTCACATTGAAGACCTCCCGAATATCATAAGTTCACCAATTTAAATTTCATTGTTTGGGATATTCTCATTTTTCTGACACCAATCACCAAATATCATATTCCTGGCTATATATCCTGTGATGTCCTTTATTATATCCACATTTGAAATGACATTATATCGCCTTGATGGGTGGCTGGTGATTATAAGTATTATAATGTATTATATCATCCCATAAACATATTTTATCTAATTTTATCCCTGGTATATAAACAGCTAATGACATCCTAGTATACCCCCCAGTTATGTTTCTTGGCTTATAACCCCATTACATACTTGGATAATACTGATATATCATGATATATCTATACCATAAACCCCAGTACAATTGGAGTTGTGTTCACTTACAATAGTTATATCGCATATGAAAAATCCACCGCTTCGATGATTTTCCCAGCGAAACCCTCTGGGTTCCCCCTGCTGTTTGTGGCGCCGGCAACGCTTCACCAAAGATACCACCTTCGAGGCAAGGCGTCCCCATGGGACCAGTGGTCATCTAACCGCAGTATTTGGGGGGTGGCGAATATCATCCCAACTGCATGGGAGTTCTCACCATGGTGTTCTAGCATGTTATACACATTCATAACCTTACCCCCTGGTCATGAAAAAAATAGTTTCTTATGGAAAAAAAACATAATTTATATGTATCATAGGTAAATCACTATAAATAATCATGGAACATCACCATTTATCAATGAATCCGTATTAATCATATTGTATGTATCATAATTAGTTATCATCATGGAACATCACCATTTATCATCATTTATTGATATTTTTCATAGGCCATAGGTATATAAATCATCTACCCTCTGATAAACTAACATAGCCATGGAAAATCCCCATTTTCAGTGGGAAAATCAACTATAAATGGCCATGTTCAATAGCTATTTTGACATAACCAGATGGTATAAATGGGCCATTGTCATCAACGTTCCAGTTGCACCGTTGCAGATCCCTCGGTTCCGACCTGTCGTGCGCTTCAGCCGTGGTCTCATCTCAAGGCGCACGGATGGTGCCAAGGCGCCACAGTCTGTGCGGGGCGCAGGCGTGGACAAAATGTGGCAAAACTGGCGTGAAAATCTGGGAAGAGATATCATTGGATTGGTTTCAGGGAACATCTACAGGAAACCATGGTTTTTACCATCAAATATAGGGTTTTCCTGTAAATTTTCCCATCATCCAATTCTATGAAGATAGGAAACATGGGGGAAAACCGCAGAAAATCTGAGAAGATATGGGAAACAATGCTGGAAAAGTGGGAAGATGTAGCCAGATTTTGCAGCCACACAAGGTTTGTCAAGGTGGAAGAGTCACTTAGACCAATTAATTTGGCATATCAAATTTAATTGATTAAACCCAAACAATTATGGTATTATCAAAAAAATGTATTAACTTGTTGGTTTACCTGATTCATTGACGCTGCAAAAAAATCTCATCATGGACATATATTGGGAAAATTACCATTTACGTCAACAATGTGCATCACATTGTGGATTCATGATCACCAAAATCAAGCGGGGCGTGAGGTAGAGCAGCGCCGCAGGTGCAACACACTTAAGAACATATGGAGATCAGATTATCTTCAGTGGTGGAGGCCCACTACCTTAGATCATCTGCAACGAAAACATTTGGATAAAGCCACTAGATGTTCACAAGAGTAGCACGGCATTGACCTATACAGCTTCTTGCCCGGGCTTAGGAACACATCATATGAACTTTGGTTCTTGAAGGGGTCCTGCTGTTTCGACCTCACAGTCCCTGATATTGTCCCAACCAGGACTATGATATGAAGATGTTGCGAGCAAAAACGGGGAAAGTACAGGGCACGGATCAACAACCAGTCGAGAAGAACCGAGATAATGATAATCTACGCATCCAAGGATCTAGTTCTGGTAGTCAACTGGTAATGGTGGTCCCTAATGATAATAGGTGTCCAGTAACCGTGGAATGAGTGAGTTCCCAACGTCCTGTGCGGCGTTTGCTCAATCATTTTGAAATTATGCAGTAGCATCTGCCAACCATGGGTGTGCAAAGGGGCACCAGTGGCTGTTGTTTCTTCACAACGGATAGTTTCCAACCCTTGATTGTCTTGCATAAGCCGGGTCACATCTTGAAAGGACCATGAAACGCAGTCTTCCTGGCTGCAATTCCTACGCTTCTTCCAGGAGGAAGCAAACGCATCTCTTGCAAAGGGATCTTGAGTAACAGAATCAGCAGAATGATCCCACGATTGCCTGCACAAATTGCACGCCGATCTTCGAAATGGGACGCCGCGGGTGCAAGGTCTAGAGGCAATGGCTCCATTGAGTTAGTTCACCACCACCAACCACCTCCCGGTGCCCCGGTCCCGCCTTTCACGACAATGGAAGACCTGTGAGCTGAGGTACCCATGATACAGGATGATACTGGATCCAAGTGAACCACCTGGAAGATATGTATGATGTCTCTAAAATGTTTGATTAAATAAATATACAAATATGGTGATATGGTCGAAGGAAGTTTAGAAGTCAAACTTCCGACAATATGGACAGATGAAAAGCAGAGCAGGGCAGAGGCAGAGAGAAGAGAAAGATTAGAAGAGAGAAGGGTAGAAGAGAAAGAGTCAGAAGAAAGAAGATACAGATGCGCGAAAAGGTAGGAAAGTCGCGATTCACTGTGTTTTTCCAATGATTTGTGGCTCCGGCGGGTCGAAAAGTAGGCTCGCTAAAGCGGCGGGTGCGGAGCCAGCTGGCCAGATGAGAGATGAAAAATTGCACGCCGTTGTGGCGCGAAGCACATTTCCAAGTCAAAATGTACAAAACACACCATGGTCGGACCACTTTTGGAAGTTGAGATGTCGAAAAAGTGCACGCCGTTGTGGCGCGAAGAACATTTCAAAATGACCAGTCTTTTGGAAGTTGAGATGTCGAAAAACAAAACACCACATGTTCGCGCCACTTTTGGAGGTTCGGATGTGGAAAAAGTGCACGCCGTTGTGGCGCGAAGCACATTTCCAAGTCAAAATGTACAAAACACCACATGTTCGCGCCCACTTTGTGCACATTTCGAAGTCAAAATGTTCGGACCACTTTTGGATGAGATGTCGAAAAAGTGCACGCCGTTGTGGCGCGAAGCACATTTCGAAGTGAAAATGTACAAAACACTACATGTTCGCGCCACTTTTGGAGGTTCAGATGTCGCTTCGCCGCTTCGCTTCACTACACTACACTACGTTACATTACACCACACTCCACTATACTACACTACATTACACTACACTACACTCCACAACACTACAACTACAACTACACAACTAGACTACACTCCACTACACTCCACTACACTCCACTACATTAAATTTCCCTACGCTACATTACACTACACTACGCTCCACTACACTACACTACATTGAATTACACTACACTCCGCTACACTACATTACACTACACTACGCTCCACAACACTACAACTACAACTACACAACTAGACTACACTCCACTACACTCCACTACATTAAATTTCACTACACTACATTACACTACACTACGCTCCACCACACTACACTACATTAAATTACACTACACTCCACTACACTACATTACACTACACTACGCTACACTACATTACACTACACGCTCCACAACACTACAACTACACTACACTACACTCCACTACACTCCGCTACACACTACACTACACTCACACTCCACTACTCTACACTACACTCCACTACACTACACTACATTAAATTACACTACACTCCGCTACACTACATTACACTACACTACGCTCCACAACACTACAACTACAACTACACAACTAGACTACACTCCACTACACTCCACTACATTACACTACACTACATTACACTACACTACACTACATTGACACTACACTACAATACACTGAATGACACTGCACCACAGATAGACAGGTAGACAGATAGACAGACAGACAGACAGACAGACAGATAGATAGATAGATAGATAGACAGGTAGACAGCTAGACAGATAGACAGATGAAAGAGAGAGAGAGAGAGATAGATAGATAGATAGATAGGTAGATAGGTAGATAGGTAGATAGGTAGATAGGTAGATAGGTAGATAGGTAAATAGGTAGATAGGTAGATAGGTAAATAATTAGATGAAAGAGAGAAAAAGAGAGAGATAGATAGCTAGATAGATAGATAGATATACAGAAGATAGATAGGTAGGTAGATAGTCAGAGAAAGAGAGAGACAGAGAGGAGACCTCAAGCACCTTTCGGTCCATCAGTGGATTCGCTTTGCCATCCCTGATTCACAACAACCAACGTCTCCTATAGGTTTCCTATTTTTGAAACTTCGGGAACCGCCTTGTGCGGTACTACTGGTATACTTAGTATACTTATGGTAGCGGTAAAAACTAGTATTGATCATCTTTCCCAACAGATTGACACTAACAGCTTGGCCTCAAAAAAGGTGGATCCTGAGGTCACTCTCTAGGTCACCGGACTCAGCTGCTATGCCGCGCTGAATCTTCTGATCCAAATCAGGGTCACAAGCCTGGCGTTGGAGATTTCAATCAAAGTGGATCCAAAGTGACTGGGATTTAAGCATATTTAGATAGGGGTTGGAAGACTAGTTTCCATTAAACATTGGTGATTTTCAGGGTCTATGTTAATTTACCAGGGAGTAATTTAAACTTTAAACTATAAATTGGATTCAACCTGCGGAAATTGAGGCTGCTTCGGCTGGTGCAGCTGTGGTTGGTGCGGCTCTTGCAGGTTGCCACACTTCGCGGAAAGTGCCGAAGGACGAAAGTATGCCCTTGCGTGGCAACTGCCCCAAGCCCTGTGCCGAAGGCTGGTAGTAGTCGCCCTGTTCCGGCAACTGTCCCAAGCTATCCAAGTTAAGCTGCATCCCTGTTTGTACAGCTTTCGGGCGTGTGTGCAGCTTTCGGGCTGCTCTGCAACGCTTTTGTGCGGAGTCTTCTGAGCCAATTTCAACACATGGGGATTGAAGCAAGAGAAAATGGAGAATTACTTCGTGGTTTTCCCAGTAAATATGTTCTATATCTGGTCATCAGTGAAACAAAGAGTAGGAACGACCAAACCTACAACTGGGGTAGTGACTCCGGTAGCGACCTTCTTACTCATCATCTTCATCTGCCTCATCATTTGGTAACTCAATGATGGTGGAAACATGTGGAAACCACCTTGCCACCATCCAGGGGTGCTGGTCAACCATTGGTCAATCCATCCTTAAAAGTTAGCGCACCTGGAAGTTCAATTCGCCAGTGACCACGCGGCAATTCTTTTTCATGTCGCTCTGACGGCTTGATGGATATCATATTGTAGTTTATATTTATATGTTTCTTAGTGATTATCTGTCGGCATTACGCGCTTTGTGTGTGTGTAATAGAAAGGTACAGCAATCTTGTATCACTATGGTAACCGCTTTGAACCCAATGGAACCAGGGAACAGCAGAACAACAAAACAAGTTTCATTGTGGTGAAAAGCGGATCCGAACCATGTCTATTGTCAATATACCAAGTGCATGGGCAAGCATGTGCAGGATGCACATTTACTCTAGATGATCACTCTTCCCAGAGTCACTGTGAATTGGCAGTGTAACATGTAACCTCTTGCAATGAAGATTGCCAATGCCAGTGTAACTAGTGTCTCCTGAAGATTCTGAAAATCCAGAAGCTTGGCTTGAAGTTATCTTCCTACCTACCCAATTTTCAGACACCGTCCATTTCTGAAAAAAGTGGGATGGCACTTCCACACCCTCCATTTTGAAATATGACCTACAGTAACCAACATGAAAAGAAATCTGGCTAGATTGAACGTTCATTGCCAGTCCTGGATACACTGCGGCAAAAATACTGTTAAATAGGATCTCTCCCCTTTGTGGTTCTTGTCATATCAAATGCTAATCACCAGTTAATTTTCCCGTGTTTTGGATGGTTGATGTCCAAGGCTGACGTTCTAGAGGAACAACAAAATAGAAAGCATCACAAAGTAACCACGGTTTCGTCTGTTAAACTAACATCGCTATGGGCAATCCCCATTTATAGATGATTTAGCTATAAACAATGGTGATTATCCTTAGCTATGTTAGTTTACCAGAGGGGTATCATCACATTTCTGGTGGGTTTTCCATCTATCGATGTTGATTTACTGGTCAGTACCCAATGAAGCCAAGCTTAGAGACCCTGCACAAAATTACCAAGTATCTTCTTAGCTGGTTAGGTTGACATATCTCCATCAACATGGAACAAATCAAATTGTATTACAGTCATTATCATTATCATTGTTTTTCTCATCATATGTTTGTTGTAATTTAGTAAGTTCGCCTCTTTTTATCTTATTCTTATGGTCAAACTACCGTCCAAGGATTTACCTAGACATAGTCCTGTAGTCACTTTTTATTTCGAGTTACATCCCACCTCTTGTGGATTGCATGTACTGGGAGAATCATCCCACTTATCGCAACTGGTTAGTGCTCAATTCGTGGCTTACCCCATGGTATCACATGGGGCCATTAACCACTGATCCGTGGAGCGATCATCCAAGTAGATAGTATCCCCATCTTCCAAACTGTCTTCACCCTTCACGCAAGCGCGTCCTTCACTTCCAATGCCGGCATCTCCCGACCAAGCTCCGCCAGGAGCCAACGGCGCGCTTGCATCTGTGGGTCCTGAGAGGAATTGTCCGTGCATGCCAGGTAGAAATCATCTGAGAATGGTGGGCTTGTAGTTTGTACCATCAAACAATCAAACATGTGGATTCAGCTATACAATGGTATTTAGTATTAACATGTACTAACACATATTAACACATATTAACACGTATTATTTACATGTATTAACATGTATTAACATATATTAACATATATATATAATATTAACATGTATTAACGGTTTTACCAATGGAACAAACGCTTTTTCAGTTAGAGGTTTTCATGGGTTTTACCATGGGATGTCATCTTGTATGTCATCGGTGGAATCCCAAGATCCTCCCCAATATCCACTAGGGTTGGCTTGTGAAGCCAGTTGTGAATGGTGGGAGCCTTATTTGGTGCATCTCCGAGGTATCCAACTCGTCACAGATCATCCTTTTCCCATGGGATCTATCTGAGCAAACCAGAAATCTATCTAAGAAAGTCGTACTTCGGGGCATCTCTGTCTGCGTCTAACTCATAGTTTCTCCACCAAACAGCAAGCATCTTCTGATTGAAATTTCAAAGTAGTGCATTTTGTGGGCACAATAGTTGCAGCTGCTAGAGAAACAATGCGCCAAAATCAACCGACAAACCATGCCTAACTTTACCTATGCTTTGTTTGTATAAAACTCCGCACATGAATGGGATTCATTGTTGGCCCTGGAGATTCAATATCTTATGTGTCCTGAGTCCGGAGGATGGCATTTTGAGGCCCAAAAGCCTAATTTCGCTGTCGCAACGCTGGAGCCGTACAGCCTACTACATGTTTGAACAAGGGATAGTTCACATAATCCACCATGGCAATGGGATTCTCCGGCCAACCACGGCCATGATGTCAAGGGGGAGAGTATAACTTGGTTGACTAATATAGTTGTCGAACTGAGAATTGGTTCCATATATATTGCAATTGTATCATATTGTCTGATATGGTTACATAACTGGATTCCACATATTGGGTTTAAACGCATATAATAGCTTGAACTATGGAGGTTTCCTAAAATAGGGGTACCCCTAAATCATTCATTTTTTCTTAGGTGTGTTCATTATAATCATTATAAACCATCCAGCTATTGGGGATTCCCCATGGATTGGAAACCCATATATGGTTGTTACCCATCTACCCTCTGGTAAACTAACATGGCCAAAGTATTAACTTGCGTGGGGGTATGCCCCCACTTGCATATGCGTTTCAAGCTGACTTTGTTGACGGTCGGAATGGCACAACAGGTAACTTAGGAAAAAACTGTTTTGGATGATTGGAAAAAATGACCTCCATCTGCTTTGTTCTGATTTGACCATTCGGAAAGGTTTGCTTGGCCTTGCAGTTTTTAGGCTGATGTCCGAGGTTCTGTGTGGTGTTGAACACATTTGAAACAGTTAGGCGCATTGGAAAAAGAGTGAACTTGTGATGAAGGAAAACCCATTGGGTAAGTTTTGACTCGTGACTTGGGCCTCCTGATTTTGAAATTGTCAATGATACATATCTGATATTATATTATAGCGACGGACCGAAAGTTCCCACAATATCTTGTCTCAGGTGTGTAGATGTAGCTCAATTAAAAAGGTTCAAAGCCCAGGGCACAGGCCTAGGCAGCCCATAGACAAACCAAACTGAACTAAAGCTACTAAACCGCACTACCGCACGTCTCTTTGTGCCAACTGTTTGCTTCTTTCAACCCAGAATAAATGAAACCAACATCAACACTCCAACTTTACAAATCATGTTTCAGAATGTTGTCTCAGTTTCGCGATTGATGGGCCAACATCTCCAAGTTCACATCAATGAAACACTAAGCAAGCATTATAGTTGTTTTCTTCATACCATGCTTAGCCGTAGCCAATTTGAACTCAGCGTCTCCAAGAGTTGCAGTGCGTTTCCAACTTCTCATGCAAGACAAACATTTTAAAAAACAACTCACAGGTCACAGGCACAGGACTTCACACAATCAATTTCCAAGTTTTTGGAGTAAATTATCATCTAACCTTTCTACTTTGGAAATCAAAAACGCCAACTGTAGAAATGAAATCGGTAAAGGGTGAAGTAGGTTGGGGGCATGTAGGGTTGAAATTGGCGAAGACGGGGAAATTTTCCTTCTTCGCCTTCGCCAATTTCTTTTCTGAAGTTGACAGAATTTAGGTTTCAAATTGGCGAAGATGGCAATTTCGTCGGTAGAGTTGGGGGCATTTAGGGTTCAAATTGGCGAAGACGGCGAAGACGGAGAAATTCTCCTTCTTCGCCAATTTCGTGTGTAAAGTTGGTGGATTGACGGTTGAAATTGGCGAAGACGGAGAAATTCTCCTTCTTCGCCAATTTCGTGTGTAAAGTTGGTGGGTCGACGGTTGAAATTGGCGAAGATGGAGAAATTCTCCTTCTTCGCCAATTTCGTGGGTAAGATCTTGCAAGATTAGGAGATTTAGGTTCAAATTGGCCAAGACGGAGAAATTCTCCTTCTTCGCCAATTTCGTGTGTAAAGTTGATGGACTGATGTTGAAATTGGCGAAATTGGAGAATTTCTCCAATTTCAATTTTGAAATAAGCGTTTCAATGTAAAAAAGTGAGTTAAAATAAGCGTTTCAACCGTCAATCCACCAACTTTACACACGAAATTGGCGAAGAAGGAGAATTTCTCCGTCTTCGCCAATTTCAACCGTCGACCCACCAACTTTACACACGAAATTGGCGAAGAAGGAGAATTTCTCCGTCTTCGCCAAATTCAACCGTCAACCCCCCAACTTTACACACGAAATTGGCGAAGAAGGAGAATTTCTCCGTTTTCGCCAAATTCAACCGTCAACCCCCCAACTTTACACACGAAATTGGCGAAGAAGGAGAATTTCTCCGTCTTCGCCAATTTCAACCGTCAATCCACCAACTTTACACACGAAATTGGCGAAGAAGGAGAATTTCTCCGTCTTCGCCGTCTTCGCCAATTTGAAACCTAAATTCTGTCAACTTCAGAAACGAGATTGGTGAAGAAGGCGGGTTTCTCCAAATTCACGGATTTCATTTCTACAAATGGTGACGATGTTGATTTCAAAACAAAAACCTTAGATAATTTCACGTAAACCCCAGCCCAGCCATGGCAAAAAAACGGGCAGCGCTACCGCGTGCCCTCCCCGGGGCTTGGCTGCGAGGTTTTTTTTTGAATAAGAATCTTAAACTGTCAGGGCTGTCACAAGGGTCTAAACTGTCAAATACTTGAGGTCAAACCCCTACCCAGCATGACAGTGGTACAAGATGTTTAGATAAAGTATTGAAAAAAGAAAAGCGGTAGTAGTGATGAAGCAAACCATTACTAGGTATAAACCTAAACAAGCATGTGCGCAAGACTTGCTCAGCCAATGCCTAAAGAACTTTTCTCCTCTGAAAGATCGATGATCTTTTCCCTTGGCCCGTATTGTGAGTAAAACTTGTGAAAACAGGTTGAACATGGTGAATTTGTTTTGCCCTGGACACAGGTCCAACCAACGGGCTGGCAGTTAATTTGTTGAGTGGATTGCCCCTCAGGAAACGCATGCTTAACAGCAATGATTGCTCAGCAGTGCTCAAAAATGCCCCGGGTGCGATTGTGCGCGCAGCCGTTTTAATAGGGTTATTTTTTCCAGTGTGACGGGCCAATTCAGGGTATGTGTGAAACGCTTATTTCGACAATACCCCTAACAACAGCGCAAGTTGATAGGCCAAAGTGGCCATAACAATGGTTGATTTACTTTGATGTTCCATCGTTATGTTAGTTCTTAAAGTAAATCAAGGGGAAGAATCATCCATAAATGGATAGTTGTTACCCATTTACATCCATTTACCATAAAAGTTGAAATTCCATTGGAAGGTAATTGGGTAACAACCAGTAAAAAAACAGTTTTTCACATCTGGTTGGTGGTTTCAACCCCTCTGAAAAAATAGTCAGTTGGGATGATTATTTCCAATCTATGGAAACATGAAATTTATGTTCCAAACCACCAACCAGTTATTGACATATATAAAAACATGTTTTTTCAATGTTCTTCACCTAAATTAACGAGGTCCCAATTGGGTAACAACCATTAATAATGTGGTACCACGTTATTAATAATTGGGTAACAACCATGTAACAATCATGTAACAATCATTAACCAATCATTAACCAATCATTAGCCAATTGGGTACCATAAATTCACGAGGGGTAGAGCGGTAGCACAAGCCCCATGTTCTCCCCGGTCCAGGATGAAGGGCCAATCCATCACGACCTGGCATGGGCCGCAGGATTTATGGGGCAACCCGGCCGGATAAACGTTTGTATTATGGTTAATGATGGTTAATAATGGTTAATGATGGTTAATGATGGTTAATAATGGTTAATAATGGTTAATAATGGTTAATGATGGTTAATAATGGTTAATAATGGTTAATGATGGTTAATGATGGTTAATAATGGTTAATAATGGTTAATAATGGTTAATGATGGTTAATAATGGTTAATGATGGTTAATGATGGTTAATGATGGTTAATGATGGTTAATGATGGTTAATAATGGTTAATGATGGCTAATGATGGTTAATGATGGTTAATAATGGTTAATGATGGTTAATCATCCAAAAATGCTTAATTACGATGGTTAATGATGGTTGCCCTCTGGTAATTTAAGATAACGAACTGGAAAATCACCATTTCTAATAGGTAAATCAGCGAACTAAATGGCCATGGCTTCAATAGTTATATTAAATTACCAGAGGATATATAACTAGAGATTATGCATGAGAGATTGTTCAAATTATAGGGATATAGGGATTATAAAGGTGATAATCTGGAAACAATTCCTGGAATAGGGATTTATACAACCAATCTGTTGGGGACAACAAACCCAGTTTTGACCCCAGTTTTGGTATATTTCTGACGTGGTAAAAAAAATGATATCTGTGGTTTGATATGCCAATGTTGATATTTAAAATCCAAAGTCCAAAGCTTGATGGTGAACCACAAACCATTGAGGCTCAGATTGGCTATCCCAGCCAATACAAAAACATTCTAGGCGATTCAACTGATAGACTCGGATACCCTCTGGTGAACTAACATAGCAATGGAAAATCACCATTTTTAATGGGAAAATCCACTATAAATGGCCATTTTCAATTGCTATGTTAGTTCACCAGGGGGTATAGTAGACCAGTCAGGTTCTGCCAAGGCGGCGCCTTCAGATCACCGCCATGATGCCACTGATTTCACCATATTTCACCCCCGCGGGTTTCACGTCCACCGTCATTGGCCGGGCGGCAAACAAAGGGCCAGTAGCGATACTTCGACCCCAACTGGTCAAACTGCATGACTGCCAATGACTTCATGAGTCATGCGTCCCAACGCTGTCTCTTGTTGGAGACTCGCTTTCTTCTCTTGCCTTCCATGGTTGATTCTCAAACAATATCCCCAAACATTGTTTCATATTCCCCCATGTTTGTTGGTGACATCAACCCGTTTTACTGCAAAACCATGATTGTATGACACTAAATCATACTAAATTCAAATCAAATTAATTGTGTATATAACATATATGTCTACTATATATATATACCTATGAAGTGGTTGGTTTCCTGCCTCATCAACATCGTTGCTTAAATCATCTCAAATCCTGATGTTGTCGTCTACATCCTTCCAGTATCCCATGAATTCATACCCCCCATCATACCGTTGTGACATCCCGACTATACATCCATTACAGCTCCATAAACTCATTGGCACATGTATTATGTCCTGCATGGGAATGGATCAAGAGGGCGGTATAGCCCAGTCATAGGCTAGCTGATAAATGGCTGATCCATCCCCATATGAGCCACGGTCTATGGATTCTGGTCATCCAAAAGTTGCCACCCCCACGAGGGGTATATATGAATCTTATGCATTGATGATCGTCCACCTGACATTGACTTACACAGTAAGGCCGCACTTTCAGGAAAACCCAGAAAACAGGAGAAAAAAAACATGGGCGTCCCCATATGTTTCCTTCCTGGAACATAAAGGCTGATCCCAATTATCTCCATTGTACATAATCTCTTTTTTTGATGGTTAACTCTACCTCATGGTAAGCCAAGTATGTTCCCTTCTTAAGATCATGACTTGTGCTATGTTCAAAAGCCTCTGGTGTTCTTTTACACTGGTTGGTTGAGAAAGATTCCCACAATGGAAAAACATATCCCCACTATCTAAAGGGTAGTATAACCCCCTATCATCACGAAAACCAACCATGTGTTTATGGGTGATAGCAAACCACCCTCATAAACCCATTACCAAATTCCAACAACTATCCCATGATTACCTAATACCCCTTATAAACCAAAAACTTTCATGTTAAAGTATGATAAATAAACCCAACAATTCCAACTACTCAAACCATATTAAACCATGTTAAACCCAACAAAACATATACTGTAGAATCACCATCTTCTCAACATTTGCTTGCTGGTCAATGGTCATTGTTCATGTTTGGTCATCGCATTTTTCACGGAAACCATCAACTTTTCACTAAGGACATCCTACAAAATCACTATTTTCATGGCATGTTTGAATAGGTCATGATGATTTTCAGGCATTTTCATGGCATTGTTCAATATTTTTCATGGTGAATGGTGACTTTTCATGGCATTTTCCATGGCAAAAGATGGATGGCCCTCCGCCAGCGCGCCTTGGTCATGGCGGCGCTTAAGAGATCTTGCTCCACCAGGCCCAGGTGGCGCCAGCTGCGGCGGGTGGCCTGGGAAAAAAAACTATGGGATTTTCAATGGTAGATCTATGTGAATATGGAAAACATATGGGTACAAAACATATGAAAATGATATATCACGGTATATCTATGTTTCAATGTTATATCTATGGGAATATATATACGCTATGGGGAATATATACACGTTGGTATATATGGAACATACCTATGATATAGATGTGGGACATGTATAATATATATATATATGGAATATATGGAATATATATATATATAGCTAGGGTTTTTGGTGGTCACATCAAATTAGTTAATGGGATCGGATTCTTACCCCGATCCCTTTAGGCAAAACATATGGGAAGACCATTGGTATATGGAGCAAATATGAAAAATACGCGGAAGAAATATGGGTAT